TAGAGGAAATTATCATAAAATTAAATTTTCTCTATTGCCGTTTGGTTTTAAAAATATGTATATATCAGTACTTCTCTATTACTTATTATTGCTCTGTATTGGTCACTATACCAGGGATCAGCAAGAATATTTTATTTTGGCAGATGTTTTAGAGATGTCACGTACATCTGAGAGGAAATGGACTAATGCAGTGTAAGTGGAGGAGATGAGACATGAATGGGACGCTCTGTGCCGCCTGCCAGCACATACTGATTCATCACGTATTCTCTGAAGTCTCATACATAGCAATAATGTTTGATGACAAATATGTCCTCTCGGCCCTCAACCTCCTCTACATCTACTACTACTTTTACATATCTGTCTTTGTCTTGCTCACTTGCTTCTCCAGTCTGTCACACTCCTTCCCCTCTGCTTCTCTTGGGGCTGTGTGAGATGAGTACAAGACAGGGGAGAGTGTGAGCTGTGGTGAGCCACAGACCAAAATAACTGGTACTTTTTTATAAAAACACATGTGCATCCACCCACACATAAAGTCACACATGCGTGCATAGTCGCGCACACACACACTCACACATTACAGAGGTCCCTTTTACTTGGGGATCCCTGGAGAGAGGTTTAGCTGGATATATTTTGGCCGTGCCAGTAGAGATTGTGTGTGTGTGTCGATATCCAGAGCTGGAAATGGACCACCATGAGGAGTCAAATGGGACTTGAGTTGATGCTATTTACGAGCTGAGAAATTTGAAGTTTTGTCAGCTGTCTAGACTTAAAAAACTAGAACACTACATTAGGAAATAAAGCAACTGTTTTATTCTTTCAGTTTCTACTCTCCATCTCTGTCTCACTTTCTCTCTCGGTATCTCTTTTGCCTTCTCTCTTGACAGATACTGCTGCCTCCCTGTCAAGCTGGCATAGTGGCATCATTCTAAAACTGGTATTAGGCATTTCCTGCTGCGTCCGTTGGCGGGTGTAAGGGTGTGTGTGTGTGTGTGTGTGTGTGTGTGTGTGTGTGTGTGTGTGTGTGTGTGTCGGGGCGGAACGCACCTGGTCCGCGCAGCTGTGGGGATCCTAGCAGGGGGGAGAGAGAGAAAGAGAGAGATAGAGGAAGAAAGAGAGAGGGATGGGAGGAGACGAAAAGGGGGCCCTGTGTGCTGTACTGGGGACCCGACGAGTTGAAAGATGTGGGGAGAAATAGAGGGACTGGATTTTTAAGACAGTCCCAGTAGCTTAACATAGATGGGCCTACACTGTATCTGCCCTTTTAAAAAAAAAAAAGAAAAAAAAAAGAGAGAGAGAGATATTCTGTTTATGAGAATGAGCCTGAGAAAAAGACATTTGTAAGTTTCTACATCAGCCACGTGTGATTGTGACGGAAATCAGTGAGCTCTGTTTTTTCTCTCTGGCAAAGGTTTGACAATAATCTTAAACATTCCACTTTGTCTAATAAATTGTTCCTGTGTATATTTTAGAGTCCTGTTAATAAGATCCGGCCAAATGTCATTAATTATCTCTCAGGTACAAGGAAATGAAGCACATGTAAAATAGTAAGCTTTACCTGCACAGCTCACCAGTAAGTTTAATAATTCTTTTGTGGTTTAAATGAAACTGATTTGCATGTTAAAGTCAGTTGTGGTTTGTCTGCCCCAGTCTCCTCCCAGTTAGATAACTGTAAAGTGTGTCAGTCTATACTAGGATGCAGTTCCTCTGGTCCTCTGCAGAGGGGGCAAGGAATCTGGGAAAAACACAATGGAAGAGCAATGGTAGTTAAAAAGATTTTTCCCGTGCAGATTTAAAGTTTGAGCAAACAGGCCAACGATAAGAGGAAACCACCGAGGAACCCACACGAAGAGGAAACAAACAAATGTTTTTATCAGGCTTTTTTATTCAAAGTGCACATCTGTGCTCCGGCAAACAAGAGCACACGTGTACACACACACACACGCACCCACACATATGCACAGTTTATTTCAAAGCTGATTGGCCAAGGAGTGGTCAGTGCTGAGAAGGTCAAATGATCAGGTCAAAGGTCAAACCACAGAGAACTTAAACAGAGAAAAAGGGAGCATGAGGTCATCAAGCACACCATGCACACACAAACACAAACACACACACACACACACACACACACACACACACACACACACACACACGCAGACACACACACACTCACCCTCACACACACATTTATTAAAGTCATCATCGACATGTTGCAACTCTTGAGCCTTTGCTCCAGATTGGCAAAGAAGGCAGATATCGTCTGTCTGTATGTAGAGGCTGACACACACACTGACACACACTGACACACACTGACACACAAACGCACACCCTCTCCTCAGCATGTTGGCCAAAGTTGTGATTTGATAAGAAGTCAGGCTACACAACAAGGGTCAACATCAAAGCAGCAACTAAGTAGATCAGTTCCCAATATGTTTTCCTTCATTCTTTGGACGTTAGAGTTTAAAAACCAAACCTTCGCCATAAAATACAGAATATAACATAAAAAGTTGAAAGTCATTTTTTACTGATAATGTTTTAGGATGCAAATTTAAAATATAATAGATTATAATGGTTTTATATCTGTTAAAGTGAGGCTGTTCATTTCTAAAGATAAAAGAACGCAATATTACTCTCATAAATTAAAAGATTCATAGGCAATAAAACACACCCATGTTCAATTTACTGCACTTGTTCTGTTCTGAGCAGTTATAAAACTGTATGACTGACATCACCAAGTCAGTTCACTGACTTTCTGGCTCTCCTTTTACTTGTGCCGCTGTTTCACACCAGTTAAAATGAGACATAGTGTAAGTTCTTGATAAGAAGTGTATGAACTACTAAGTGTGACCTTATTCTCTGTTTTCTAATTCTGGCAGGAAATCCAGAATAGCTGCTCCCTAATAATATTCAGGAGATGTTAGGTCACGGCAGGTGAAATAGAACAAGTCTTAATTGCCTAGAAGTGACCGGGCTAATGCATTGCACATTAGCGTCCAGCAAAGTGGATTTAGCAGCTATTTCAAATTGCCCAATCGCTACCTAATGTGACCTTTGAATAGACATTTTTTGTGCGAATGGACTTGGTTTGGCAGTTGGCATTTCTTCATGTGGCTGTAAAGATAAAGGACACTCTATTTTGAGAGTGTCAAGTATATGAAATTGAGTTAGAGAGTATTTGTGGTCTCTTATATGTGTTCAACAGCCAAGACATCAGGGGGGACAGCTGCCTGAGAGCAGTCTTGAGATCAATGTGAAATTTTTCATTTGGGTTTTTTACCTTCTATGTTCGTTCCTATGTCCTTGACAAGGATTTACTAATATTTGCCATGGCCTTTTCTTTTTTTTTAATGCATTTGTATGTGTACATACTGTATAAACTAGGGTTTGTTTAATGACAAGCTGCATCAAATTCTGTACCTCCTGTACTATCACCAGCAACAGCCAAGCAGTCATGCTTAAATCAAATCGGCATGTTTCAGTGGTTTTTCTGGCAGTAAACTGTGAAAGCTGCAGTCTTTTCCCATAACGTAAAGCAACAACACTTAAACCACTTAACTCGTCTCTTCCCTCCTTTTATCTAACAGCAGCTGCCTCGTTTTTTCAGTTTGTTATTTTTACTCCGAATTACTTCTAACGCACACAATCTTATCAGCACATTAAGATATGCAAAGTAACGTGCACAGTGAACGATGCACGTTAGTAACCACTGAGTTCAATTAGCCCTGGCATGCAACCTAATTTCATGGTGTGACCCCTGCTGCTGCACAGACACACGCACACAGAGGAACCACCTCAGCTCCCTCAACATGTCTATCTGTGTCTGTCGGTGATCAATGTGTCCTTTGAAGGAAGCACCAGCCAGGAGGTCAAAGGGGGAGAGGGAGTGAGCGAACACAGTACCTAAATGGATGACGACGGAGGAGGAGGAGGAGGAGGAGGAGGAGGAGGAGGAGGAGAGACGGTATGGGACGAGAGGTGAGGAAGGTGACGTCGTATCCACAGTGATGGATGGATGCTCACAGAGATAGTATCTTTAGAGGGTAGATGACCCCCACGACCCAACCCGTAAGGCCTCATGCGAAGACAACAGCTTCAACATTTGTTTTGAAACTGAGAAAGAGAGAGAGAGCTCATGTGGCAGAAGCTTGTTGTTAAGCGAGGAGAGGCTAGTCTCAACAACTACTGAAGAGAGACACTAAACACTGTGGGTGGCAACTATGCGCTTTATTCATGCAGATAATTATATTGATGATGGTGCCATTGATACAACCAGGTTATACTGGGAGAAACAAACATTCGTCTTAGCACCTGTGTGATTAATATAAACACAATGAGAGGCGTAGTTTGGCTTAGGTAGGTGCGTAGGTATTTAAAGGAATAGTTCAGCATATTGTGAAACACACTTATTCTTGCCATGAGTTAGACGACAAAGTTGATACAACTACCACGTCTGTATGCTGAGTGATGGAGGTGTATTTTTCAGAATTCAAGTTTTATTTAACTTTTCCAACACATGAAGAGCACAATGCAACACAAGACAAACCTTACAAATATTCACTGAAGAGTAAATTCAGCACATAAAACAAGCAAATAGAAATTAGATAAAACAAACCAAGGAATTGTTAAAAAAAAAAAGAAACGGGGTATTAAACTTTTATTGACTTTTAAAGACAGAATTAACAAACCACACAAACAAAATTAGCACTGTCGGAGCATGTAAACTCAACAAAGTAGGTTTGTTTTTGAACTTCAAACAGAGCCAGGCTAGCTGTTTCCCCCTGCGTTCAGTCTTTATGCTAAGCTAAGCTAATCGCCTCCTTTGTTAACCCCTTACATAATGCACAAACATGAGAGTGTTATAGAACTTCTCATCTAATCCTATCCTAGCAAATAAAACATATTTCCATAAATATCAAACAATTCTTTTAAACGTATTTGTGTCCTTGTAGACGGATGTGGGCTTAAAATCAGGCAAAAGTGAGCCACCGCCTGAGGACGCAGGAGCCGAAAGAACCAACAAAACACCAAAATATCAGGTATTACAGGCTTGAGATGAGAGGAAGGAGGTATGGGGAAGCCCGCTGCAGTCTCTGTCTCCAGCCAGTCTACTTCAACATCTGGAGCTCACATCAGCCCTCCTCAGAGACTGGCAAAGCAACAAAGACAAAAGCAGCAAAATGAAAATAAGAGATAAGAAGGATGGAGAAATAAGAGGAGAACGATTCTTTATGACAAGATTTTGAAAAGGAGATTTTTTTTCAGACGGGGTTAAACATTATATATTTATCCTTTCCTGAGATAATATCAATGCAAAACAGACCTGAACAGTAACTGTGTTTGTGTTCATACATCTGTGTTTGTGGTAGGTGTGTGTGTGTGTGTGTGTATGTGTGTGTTGTGCTGATGATTTTCCAGTGATCATCTTCAATGCAGAGCAGAGAAAGCATGAACACTGGTTAGCTTCTGTGGCTAAGCACTGTGTGGCAGGAAACAGCACAAACCTGTGATCTCTGCAAAAACACTAATGGAAAACCTCACTCAGATAGAAAACACGGGTGTGTATGCATATAAGCAATAAGTGTGTGTGTGTGTGTGTGTGTGTGTGTGTGTGTGTGTGTGTGTGTGTGTGTGTGTGTGTGTGTGTGTGTGTGTGTGTTTATGTGTGTGCATTCGAGTACCTGCATGTGAGTGGAGAGTGTCTTTGCAAGTTGTCAGAATTATAATTGTTCCAAAGACTGCAAACCAAAGTGTGCGTCAGGTTTTCTGACAGAAGTATAAATGCAACTAACATCTGCTTTTGCAGCAATTAACTCGAGAACCACAGACTTTCCTTTACAGATAACGAGTGAGACTTCCCTTAGAAATGTGTAAACAACACAGACATCGCAAACCCAAACCTTTTCACATTTCATGACTGCTTTTTTTAAACTCCAAAAAAAATACCACTCTGGTTTCAAAAGTAGATCTATATTTGGTTTAGCAGCTGATTTTATATGAGATTAAAAAAAATAAAAACTTCACCGCTGTTGAAACTTTGTTATTTTCAGTATCCCGCTGCTTAATTGTTCACAGTTTTGTTGTGGCAACTCATTCATACCAGAGTTCTCAAAAGTTTTGTGTAGTGTTTCATAATGCTGCTCTGGTGGGAAATTTGTGACATATAACCCAATAGAGCATCTGCTTGAACATGAAGACAATCGCAGGAAATACTAGAGTAATAGTCAACATTTTAACCCAGACTCTGAATGGAGCTGTTGAAATAATCCCCATCTATCTTGTCTTCAAGCTAAAAGAAAATGCTCGCAGTTATTTGGGGAATTAGTTTGACCCTAGTTTCTTGTAATTGAGTGCAGTAGGTGTTATCCCTCTGTTGTCTGATCAGAGCCGTGCTAATCTACACATTCTCATTTGGTATAGGACAAGAGACCAGATGTGACAGGCCACAGTGACTGATTTAAGTGTCCTGTTTTTGAGCTTCAAGATGCCTTGAAAGCTGATCTCTGAGTAACATTTCTTCTGAGAATTGAGAGTGGAGATGTTTCACGCTCACGTCCTGACTTTGTGAATATGATGTCCTCACTGGTTCAACTCACAGTGGTAGTTACGAGGAGAAGGGGAAAATTAGATTGCAACCAAAGTTACCAAAGCAAGAGGTGATTGTGTGTGTTTGTGTGTGTGTGTGTGTGTGTGTGTGTGTGTCTGTGCGTGCGTGTGTGTGTGTGGGAGTGCGTGTGTGTGCGTGCGTGCGTGCGTGCGTGTGTGTGTGTGGGTGTGCGTGTGTGTGCGTGCGTGGGTGTGTGTGTGTGTGGGTGTGTGTCTGCAGGGGTGGGGGGTCACAGGGATGTTCTTGACTGTGTCATCTCCAGCAGCTGTTTCCCTCAAACCCTGCCTCGCCCGCTCCTCCCCCTCCCACCCCATCGCCTCACAATGAAACCAATACAAAGAAACAGGAAGTGCCTCCCATTAACTGGGGCCCAATCAAAGCCATCATTATTCCTGTGTCAGAATTTTTACAGGAAATAGCTTCTCAGAAAATATGCCAGCTGTGCACGGAGTGTGGTATTATTGTCTTACAGGTCTTGTCTGTTTTTGCTTCTTTTTTTTTTTCTTCTTTTTTTTCACTTATCAGTCGCTGCTAACAAAAGGACACACAGACCCGTCTCGACCACGTGCGCTGCACACTGTCACTGCTGTGTGTTCACAAGGCAAGCCAGGCACTGTGTTCTCTGGGGCTGGGTGGTTATTGTGTGCGCTGTGAAAAGGGCTCCCCTGCTGTGCCTGCACCGGCTTCTTTGGTTCCCATCCTGAACTGAGCAATTGTCTTTTTTAAAACCCTGCAAGCGGGGCTGAGCCCAGAGAATGCACAGATGCAAGAGTAGAGACACGATTGCACACACACACATCCACATACACACACTCACTCACATGAAGCTTTGCCTACTGAAGCCGCATCTGTAAGAGTGCTGCTCATATTACAGCTTAAACGGTGGGTTTAGGTGAAGCCTAACGTTTGCCAGATGCTGCGGTAAAGTCACCAGGAGGTTAGCCTAACATTGGAGTGTTGTTGTTGGTCGGGGAGGGTGGAATCATCTGCCTCCCTAACAAGGGGGGCACACATCTGGCGCGAACAGAAAAGTCATTTATGAGCATTATCTTAAACAGGCGTGAATAACTGCACTGATGCATTTGCTTATCTGATATTGAAACAACACAGAATGGAACTGAAATCTTGCGATCGATTGGTCTTGCAGCTGAGAAGAAAAGTAGCATCTCTGTTTATCTAATCTTCAGTTTGTCCTCTGTAATCTCTCTGTCTCTCTGAGCCCTCGCAGACGTCTGGAGGACAATAATTAACTCAGTCACTCAACACGTTGACACAGGTGAGCACTGCTTGGGTTGTTAAACAGTCATTATAGAGCTGTTGTGATGTGAATCAACACACACACACACACACACCAATTTCATTGACCGCTAACATTGTCATAGCTTGTCTGTCACATTAGGCTGAGGCCTATTCAGTTACAAAATGCCACTGTTGACTGTATTACCAGTGATTAGATAAAGGTGAAGTCCCATCTTGACAGAAGCCTCCACACCTTTAGTTTGTGCTGACGCTCAACAAAAAACCCACATGGAAAAAACAACTTTACACATGTGCCTTTTGTGAATACAATGCAGAGACATGGTGATTTCTATCAGTTTAAGACCAATTCTCACCTCCCATAAACCGTAGATCAGGCTTTGTCAGGCCTATCTCTTGTTTTGGCCAAAGGAGTTGCTCTGCGTCCCTCACTGTGAAGCTTATCAGTGGTGTTTGAAGAGCTCGTCGTTATCTGATCACTGTGTTCGGGTCATCAGCTGGAACCAGTGGTCTTTATCTCTGCCTTTACTGTTTCTCTGTCCCTTCTGAGTTAAAAATCAAGAACTTCTATCCTACAATACAGATTACCTTGGTTTCATCTGCCAAGGTTTTTAGATCCTCATTTCTGAGATTTTTTTTTTTTTTTAATTGTTTTTTGGTGTCGCCTTTATTTAGATAGTATAACAGTATATTAGAAAGATGGAAAACAAAGAGAGTGCGGGATGACATGTGACAACATTTCCTTCCTTGAACTGAACTAGTAAAGACGTAGGTGTCTAACTGTGTACAAACTGAAAATAGCACTGCAACAAGAAAGAAAATTGCAAGTGGCTGCACTGGTGTGGGTATGTTGAATATAAAATATGATCTAGGACGGCCAGATTAAGTAATATATCCATGAGTGTGACGACTTATCGCAGGCCAAAACACTGCACAGCAGGTAATGATACTATGAGATGCTGGTGTTGTAACTGCCAAATAAATTTTGTCCTCTGCTGTGACGATTACATGGAAAACAGTAAAATGACATTGTACATTGTAATGTTACATGATACCTGGAATGTGCACGTGCAGGTGACTATCAACACAGTGGTTTGTGGTAAAAGTCTCAGTTGTGAAATACAGTGCTTAATTGAAATGAATGAGTGAGCTGCGTTTTTAAAGTGGCACTATTGTTCTGAACACAAAAAACTTGAACCACTCATCCACCAGGACACCATCCATTGTCTCCACTCCAATTCAAATGAAAGCAAATCACCATGTTGTTCGTGGTGTTTACAGCATCAAAAAATATCCTGGTTACTGTGGTTAATCCTCAGTCCTCGTGAACAGATTTCATAAGAGCTTCTGTAGTTCCTATCAAAACTAAGTTGTTGAGAGCAAGTTTTGTGGATTATCCAGAGAAAGGAGAGCACTGTTTCTGGAAAGACACATTGTTGTTGAATTCTTGTGCTGTGAGCACCACAAATTAAATTTCATTCATCTCAATTTCACTGGGGTGGAGGTCTGTGAGACAACTGGACAAAGCAAACCAAAACTATCTCCATGACTGTGTGCTATAAGCTAAATAAGGCCAACAGTGGGGACAGCCCCATAAATACAAATCTTCATTACAGACTGACTGACTGAGTGATAGAGTTGATTGAACAAATTACACCATTAGTCCGCTGAATGCCACATGACTGAGTCATGAAGTTACACCATTGGTCAGCCGGCCTAGTGTGCGAGTCTCCCCATTTGTTGCTCTTTCGAAATGAATTGGCACAAACACTTTCTATAAGGGGGGCATTTACAGCCTGCAGCGATGACAACCTAACGCATTTGTCACTAGATTTAGGGACTACGAAATTCTGTCGATTTTCTAAGTGATCAATTTATGAGTAAATAGCTGAAATTACAGCACAGCCGTTGTCCTTAACTTGTGTGTGTGGTGATTTACTCAGACGAGGTCACAGTTACAAAATCAGGATTTCAGCAGCAGGACAGCGGCAGCTTGGAATTGGCTGCTGGTTAACATGCAGTCCTAATGGGCTGTGTTTCAGTCCCTATTTCATACTTGTTCCATTGTCTGACAACAGAAACGGAAAAACATGTAAATGAGAATAGCTTCATTGGAAAATTTGGTGTAATAAAATACTGTAGACGTGAGCACAGAGGGCAGGAGAGAAGCAAAAAGAAACTGCACTGAAACTGGATGACACTAGGCAGAATGCTAATATAACACAATGTCAGTTGTTTCCTCAATTTCATGCATTGACCATATGCAGTCCAGTCACATACTCGGTTTTGACCTAGTCTTCTTGCTTAGCATTCGGGTGAACCAACCCTTTAATGTATCTTTTCTTATCCATTTTGTTTGAATTTCTGCATCTTTAATCTTTCTTTTCCATGCCATATGAATGCAATTCTTCTCTTTTTTAAGCCTAAGTGCTTCCAGTTTGTGAGAACTGGCTCTCAAACGCCATGTTCTTCTTTTGGCCATTCTGGAGGATTTGGAGGAAGCGACATTTTTAGAAATCTTTGAGTGGCTTTGACCCTCCACTTTGGCCAGACGCTTAACTTAGTGGCACAAGGATATTTCCAGTAAATTACAGAGTAGCCAGAGAATGTTCGCAGGAAATGTCCATAATACAATAGACACAGAGCAGACACGGCTAAGCAGATATAGGCATTTCCTGATAGTGTTTAGGAGTGACTCATGGTTATGTTACTCCAGCTTTTATTCTCAGAAACAATACTTACCAGGTTTTAAAGGATTTTTGCTTAGCCCTGCTCATAAGCAGTAACTAATCTGAAATGGGTCACAGAGTGGGAGGATGGTCTCTTCATCTCTGGGTTGTGTCCTAAAATGGTTCATAGACAGAACAAGAACAGCAATAAGTTTGAAACCTCCCACAGCCAAAGACAAACACAGCAGACCATTACAATCTTGGTGACGTGTTGTGTTGATGATGGTTTCACACACAAAGCCCAATTAAAACCTGCTCCATAATGCCAGGCTGAACATGGCAATGCACAGCTGACCAGCTGGCAGAGTGTCCATTTTCCCTGAGTCCTTATGTCCATCCCATGATGCTGTGCACATCACCGCACCCTGATTATAGCCACCTCAGAGGAAGAGGGTATGTTAGTGTGTATGAGAGGGGATGTGGGGGGGGGGGTGTTGAAGAGAAAACACTCATTAGAGAATATAAATCACTGTAAATGGGAATACATGCGAGCAGACAAGTATATGACAGCCAGACAGAGTGAGAGAGAGTCCAGTAGCAAGGCCGGGGTGTGTGTTGTGTTTGATAAGTTATGGAGCTCAGTAGTCTGTGGAAGAGCTTTTAATCAGGTCACTAAGAGCCCAGACCTCTCTGCTCCCACTCTGCCCCCTCCGTCTGGAGGGCTCCACCAGGGGTGACCAAGAGGGGCACCGCTGACCCAGATTAGGGAAGGGGTAAGTGTGTGTGTCTGAGTGTGTGGGAGCAGGGAGAATCAGCTGTGTATCACGTCCCAATCCCCACCGTTTCAATTCATTAGCAGTCCAAGGAAGAGGCAGGAGAGACAAGGAGGGGTGGTAAGTGTGTGTGTGTGCATGTGTGTGTGTGTGTGTGTGTGTGTGTGTGTGTGTGTGTGTGTGTGTGTGTGTGTGTGTGTGTGTGTGTGTGTGTGTGTGTGTGCGTGTGCATGTGTGTGTGTGTGTCTGTGTGCGTGTGCGTGTGTGTGTGTGAAGGGGGGTGGGGAACAGAGGAAAGAAGAAGTGTTAAAAGACAGTGACAGAAGGAGAAAGTCACTGCTGCGGCTCATCTTAGATTTCAGGGACCTACTTGACCTAGAAACACATGACACACACACACGCACACACACACACACACACACACACACAGGTGCAGAGATACCCACCAGGGACCTAATGGCCTCTGTCTGTGTGTCTGTGTGAAGCCTGACCAGCTGATCCCCTGCAGCAGCAGCCATAGCGTCAGGCTCCTCTGCATCTTCCTTTTCTCTCAATCCCTCTTTCTTTTGCCGTCTGAGTGTCTCTTTCTTCTTTCTGCCACTTGTCCTCAAGTCTCTCTCACAGTCATTTTCCACAGTAATGTGTTTTCTGCCTCTCTCACCTTGTTGTTTTCATCAGACTCGTGCAAATTTCTTGCTTCTATCTCTGTTTCTATCCACCCCCCCATCCCCCACCCACCCCCTCCAGCCCCCCGACCCCCTTCTTGATCACCTCGGGTAGCTAGGCGGCCAGCCAAACTTAACATTTCACCCAACCTCGTTCACTGCAATTTTATACACCATTGCAATCGGTCAAAAATCTTGGGATCAGCTTATTTCCATTCTAGTCGTCTCCTTTCACCACAACTTCTTCTCCATCCAACGGATCTATCTGCAGGACTTTTTTCCTCACAGCGTTCTATGACGAGGCAGTTCAGCAGCCAAACACTCTGCATCTCTAAAGCAATGTACAAGCAACAGTCTGTGTGGGGTCTTACAAAGTATAGGCCCAGACAGTCCTTAATTACAAGACAGTCTAGGTCAAATGAGTTTAAAGTGTATTCACCACAAAATGCCCCGCTGGCAAAACAAGCGTAAGAGCAGCAATGACACAAGAGTATTTGCAATTATTATGGTCATCATCTGGTAGTCATCTGCAAATTGTTGCATAGGTCTTGATTTTGGTTCAAAATTAAGCATGCAGCTCCACGCTGATAGAGGCCAAGACTGGGTGTGGAGCCAGTTCGTCTCCGTGCTGTCCGCAGACTCTCGTTCTGGTGTTTATTTGCAGTTTTGAAAACAGAGGAATTGTTTTTGAAGAGAGATTAGTGCCTGCAGTGCTTCCATTAATGGTCATCCAATGGTAGACTACAAATTCAGTGTCAGCTCTGGAGTGGCTGTAAGTCAGTCCAAGTCTGTCTACTCGATATGGTCTGACAACATGGGCTATAGGGCTGGATGTAAGATGATGTCGTTTCTGAATGTAATACATTATAATTTGTTTGTCAAAGAAGAACATTCATAATTCTAATCCAGACACTTTCTGCATTTTGTTTGAGAGGATTGATGGAAGGTGTTATGACTAATCAGATCACCCTCGCCTACACCAACTGGCCCCAACCACGATCACCAAGTCTGACCTTAACTGTGCTTACACAAAGCCAGATGTTTATCCACATTGGAATAGCTGCAGAATAAACGGACTGTTCCAGTCAGGGTCGATGAAAACGACAAAACAATGGTGTGACCAGCAGCTGGCAGCTTCTCCACTTGCCCAGTCACACTGAGTATTATAGTCAGCTTGTTTTGGCCCTATGTGGTGACCATGGGCTTTATGGCCTTCTGTGGCTTGTGTCCCACCTGCTATACAGTTGCATTTTCCACAATTTATTCTTGCTTGGAGAGAGCAGTAAAATATTCACACCCAAGGACATGGGCAGAGCCACTTGACAACATGATACTGGCAACAGCACAGTTCCCACAATGTGCAGCCGCTGTATTGTTAAATTATAGTCTAAAGTTACTGACTTCACAGTATTATTATTTAAAGTCATTCTTGTTTGGTGGTGAAACAGAGATACACGATCCCTGTTCACACCTTGTGTGCGCATCCATATTCTGTTTGGATCCATTTGAGACAGACGGTACACCTGACATTTGAATGCATCTTAAAGGGACACACTGGAGAACTGGAATAATTATCAAAACTGATACAACAGAGGGTAAAGCTCCAAAACTACCAAATCCTACCATTCCCATAATACAATTTGGTAGCATATTGTTGTTGCACAGTATATTTTCTGCCTGACAAGCGCCCACGCTTTTCAAACTCCACACCCTCAGTTTGTAACGCAGACTTAAAAAAAAAATTGAAAAAAAGAATCTCAAGTTCATGCTAGGATAACTCTGTCAACATCTCTATGTCATCATCAGTGTTATTTCCTCAGACCTGACAAAGCCCCCCTCCCCAGCCAAAGACATTACGCAACTCTATAGTACTCCTTGGGATGGGTAAACTGGCCTTTAACGCATCACTGTTGATTACATGTGAAGGGATTTTGCCACTTCTGCAAAGGAGAAATTCAAGCTTTTGCTCAAACAATGGCAGAGAAAAGGCCTTTCTGTTTGGTTACTTATTAGCGCGGCACATGTAGCTACAGCCTAAAGCCATATTCCTGATTGTTTTGCATTGGCAAATAAACTGTAACCAGCTATGACTGGAAGTTAGGAAGTCATTTGTGTTTATTGTGTGTTTACATCACCAGAATTGGTCTGAGCTGTCATACCCTAATGCAAACCATGTAAAGATGAATTTGAATACAATAACACCTGTGTTAAGAGCTGTCCAGTGTATTTTAGCATCAACAGCCACAGAAGCGGCGATGGAACAATCCTGATCCTGTCACGTATAGAGCTCGTCATGCCGCCTTCCGCCCACAGTGGACACGTAGTGGGTGATTTACTGAATCAGTTAATGAAGTGTGTGGGTAGGTTTCCGTCTTGATACATAAGGTGCCTTGACACTCAAGCAATCAAGCAAGATGAGTGAATGAATAAATAATGGCGCGCAGGCTTGAACAAGAGACTCTAACATAAATAACAAGTGAGCAGCACAAATGAACAATGTGCATAAAATGTCATGTCACTGCCTGGGTCACTAGGGACAAAAGCTTGGGATCTGTAGGCTGTTCAAAGCTGATGGAGACGACTGAAGCGTCTTTGATGAAGAACAGAGTGAAAACAGGGAGCAGAGGAGGAGGAGGAGGAGGAATCCTGAGTGACACACACACACACACACACACACACACACACACACACACAGCCAGATGAAGTTTCACTGTTTCTTGACACTTAATTATCCCTCTAAGATGGGCCTGCACTTGTGGATAATAAAAGATAGCCTTCTGTATACAACACTGCTGTTCCACATGACACTGTGGTGGTTTACCCCCTCTGTCTCTCTGGTCCCCCTCCCTCCCTTCCTCCCTCCCTCCCTCCCTCCCTCCCTCTCATCTCACAAGATGACCCTCATTACTCTACACCCTGTGCTCTTCTTACCACACAAAAAAAGAGACACTTTGTTTATGTTGAGAGAAGGTGCTTTGATAGGTAAAGATGAGTGGAGGGGGCAGATTCAGATCCTTCAGGAATGGAAACGCATTCAGTCATAGAAGTGGAACAGATGTTCTGGCTTATTATTATGTGATAGTACCCCCCCACCGCCCCCCCTTACCCCCCCTTCCTGGTTGTATCTGGTTGTTAATAAAAATATAGTGGATTTGAAATTTATTGAGAGACAGCAGAGAGAGAGAGAGAGAGAGAGAGAGAGAGAGAGAGAGAGAGAGAGAGAGGGAGGAGGGGAAGAAGGAGAGAGAGAAAGGAGGGAGGAGAAGAGAAGTAGGGCGCTGCTAATTATGCATGGCGATTGTTGATGGCTTGATTGTCTGCGTCCAGCTGCACGGAGGAGCGGGGAGAGGGAGAGGGAAGGCGGGGAGAGAGGCAGACTCACTGACGCCAGGCTCGGAATTCTCCCATCCATTGAAAGAGAGACCCGATTGTGTCCGGGGCCTTTCCGACAAGCACCTGATCCCTGCCCAGACACAGCAGTGTGTGTGTGTGTGTGTGTGTGTGTGTGTGTGTGTGTGTGTGTGTGTGTGTGTGTGTGTGTGTGTGTGTGTGTGTGTGGCACAGATTTACGCACCGGGAGCTCTGGAATCTGCAGACAAGCGCTGTCATGGGTATCAGAGGAAAATACTCTGCTGGCATTTTTTGATATCCTAGAAATAGCTCCTGGTTCCTAAAAATGACTGTGAATTCGGAGGCAGCTCTTTCTGTGGATCATCAAAAACAAATTGGATAATGTTTATTCTGTTCCTGTGGAGGCCTGTAATCCCAAACGCCTCATCTATTCTGCCCAATTCCTGCCCCAGCAGCTTGCTCAGTCAGCTAATACAAACAATTATTTTCCCACCAGACCTGGGAAATTTAGGACAATATTTGTCCTCCCCGTGACATATTTAAGAAAGATATTTGAGGTCAAAGTCTTGTTTGGATACTCTACACCAGTCACACAATATATCTCTAAAATAGTTCTGGAGCGAAGTCCTGTCTCACGGTTCAATACTGTGGTTTGTTGTAAAGTGAGGTCGCTGAGTGGCTTGTCATGCGTGGGGTGAGTGGGTGGGGGGGTTGCCAGGAAGAAGACAGTGTGACTTGAACATCTGTTAAACCTCTGTATTAATGGGGAGGATATCTCCAGCGTTGCGCATTTACGCACAAATGTGTCCAGAATGGAGATAAGAATGTGAATGTGCTGACTTACTCATCATCTTGAAATCGTTTGTTACAGTTTACCCTCTCTTCTTGTTGTTTGTGAGGTAATACAATGTCGAAATTTCCCCAAAGCCTCGCCAAACTTAGAACACAGTTTATCCTTAACTAGATAGTTCCATCCCTCAATCCTGAGTGTTTTCAAAATGAACAGGCGCAGGCTGGCACCCACGAACCGTTGAGCAACAACTTTCTTCATCTGATGACTGTACAAAACCTACATTACTTGGCAGTGTAAAGTAAGACTTTAAGGTTTGTCATGGCTTTAATATTGATCAACCTGACTGTGGAGAGTCACTGTAAACCGCTCTCCTGTCACTGTTCATGAAGACATTCGTCTCCGGGTCATGTTGGTTTATTCGTCATTACACAAGTTGAGGAGTATTTGGAAAGGTTTCTCTGAGTACAACTGCAGACGGGAGGAGGGAAGCGTGGGGGGCGTAGATCCGTGACCGTGAGTGACAGAGCCGGACAACCAATGGGATCGCCGAGCGCCTCTGCTTCTCTCCCCTCTGGTGGTGGACGGGGGAGGGCGGGCCGTCTGCCAAAGAGAGGAGTGCGCGTCGGGGTGAATGGATGACGTCGGGAGGCTGGCGCCAGCATGTCTGGGACTGGCGCGTTAGATCAACACAGCTGGGCCGGGATAGGACACACAGCTGGCTCAGGCCTGCATTCCTCCACAAAACAGGATTGTGAGAAAAGGGGAAAATAAGACCCAAATAGGAGCAGAACGGGACGTGCTTTGATGTAAACTAAAAGGCAGCAACTTTTGGAAATGTTGAAATATAATTTTCATAAAACACTTTCATCCGAGGAGGTTAAAGAATGGTAGAAAGTGACTTTACAGCTTTAGTCTTATGCGAGTTAGAGACATTTTAAATTAGCTATATTACACGTAGGCACTGAAGCTGTTAGTGTAGACATATAAGCGACCAAAGCATAAATGACCAGTCAGTTTACACATATCCACTGACTGATCATTATAATAACATGTTTTTGGTGATTAAATTCATGTAGTAATAACTTGGTTACTCACTGACCTTTTACCTATATTATACAAATATCATATTTTCAATATTGTTATTTTTGTATGTACATGTTTCTGGGTAGTGTGTCCTAAAATAAGAACACACACTGCTGTGCAATGTGAAAAAGGCTCATAGGAATAAATAATATGGTCTGGGTTGCGTTTGTGTTGAAGAGATTCAGTTTGATGACAGGTTTTCAAAGGGTTGACACAGACAGACATATGGATATACAATAATTGATAACTAATAAAAAGAGACATTTTTCAAATGAGACAGCTTTATGAGAAGAGTGTCACGTGATCTATCTGTGGAAGACTTTTATTGTTGTGATCTTCTTGATTTATAACTAGCCTATTTGTGAAAGTAGAAGTGGAATAGAAACAACAGAAAGTTCATTCTCTCCTAGTTTCTCCTTGTTGTGAACTAAACTTATTCATCTTTTTTTAACTGGGGATTTTCAGCAACTTGAATTGTGCTCTACTTTCAAATGGCTTTTGCTATTTATTTCACATAAATAAAAACAACCTGAAAGAGGTAACTAATTGATTGACAATCCCCTTCAGGCATCCCATTCCAATTTCCTCATTCTTTCCAGCCCGTCCACAAGGTGATATCAGCCAATGGGAATGGGCGTGCTCTTTACACTGGCCAATCAGAGAGAGATGCGAGAAAGGGGGCGTCAGCAGGCGCGCAGTGTATAAAAACCTAACTGTAGGCTACGCTGCTGTCACAGTTGAGCACTGTAGCTTTCCAGGACAGCGAGAGGAAGATCGAAACAAGGAAGAAAACCCATCGCCAAACTCCTACTCAAACGTCAAGCCGAGTCTTTTTTGTTGTTGTTGTTGTTGTTGTTGTTCCGCGTCCGTTTCCACCATGAAAGCCATCAGTCCCGTCCGCTCGGTGAGGAGCTGCTACAAGGCCGTGTGCTGTATTTCGGAGCAGAGTCTCGCCATCAGCCGGAATAAACACTCGTGTCTGGAGGAGCCGGTGAGCGCCCTGTGCGACATGAACGACTGCTACTCCAAGCTGAAGGAGCTGGTGCCGAGCATCCCGCAAAACAAGTCGGTCAGCCAGGTGGAGATCCTGCAGCATGTCATCGACTACATCTTCGACCTGCAGATCGCGCTGGAGGCGGAGGACACAGCCACGCCGGAGATGGTGTTGTCAATAAAGGTGAGGTGGAGATGCCTGCTGCGCGGTGGACTGATGCTTGTCGTCACACACTGACACGAACTAGCAGCGATTCTTCTGTGGATCTTTGCGCTACAGATCCTCACGCTGACCTAAAGTTAAAGTCTGGTTCTGGGGATTTTTGTAAAGTTTATTCCACTCAAGCTTTGAAACACCGTCAGCGCTCGGATGTATGTCAGTGATATTGTAGAATATTGTGCTGCAGTGGCAGATAATGTTTGTCTGATATGTTATGTCGTGGGAAACCATGTTACACCCCCACACAGACACTTATTCCTGATTATATGCAATGAGAATAATGGTGTTGCCAGCGTCTAAAACTGCTTCTCTCCTCTCTGCTCTCCATTCAGACTGCGGACCTTGCTCGCAATTTCTCCAAAGAAGAAGGACGGTTGTGCCACTAGGACGAGGATGACAGATTATGGTACATATTTATCCTTTTCTGATCAATCTAAATATCTTCATAAATGAATAAAATCACGAGATGAATGTGCTTCGAAGGACCCATCTTCTAACGGTTTAGAACAGATTACAACAGTGTCTTGTTTTGACTTTCAAAACGAAATAAATTAAAAATAAACTTAAATACCAGGGAGAATAGTGTGAGCATTGATGTGCTGGGACATGAAGGTCTCCTTACTCTCCACATTCAGCACGGTTGCCAATTAGACAGGCCAGTGAATGTGTAGCGGATTCATTGCTATCTGCCTGGGGTTAATGAAAGTTCCATGCTAGGCGCCAGTCTGTCTGCTCCCCTCTGCAGGGAGGGAGGGAGGGTGAGAGGGAGAGATCTGACTTCACTTTTCTTCCTTTCTCTCCATGCAGGTGCAGGGAAACACATGTCTCCACTTCACTCCGGGCAAGAGGACAAGAGGGGCAGAAAGGGTGGGATAGGTATTTGGGAGAGAAGGAGAAGAAGAAAAAGAAGAAGAAGGAGGAGGAGGGAGGTGGAGGGTTTAAAGAAAGAAAGAAAAGACAGAAAAAAGTGGACTGTTTCCTAGATGAGTGGGGATCAACAGTAGTGCATGAGCAAGAAAACAGAGACTCATTCTTTGGCCCCTGGACAGACAAATCAACACACCAAAGCAGAAGCCAGGATTGGAAACTGAAAGCAAGCGGCTTTGTATGCCCTCCTCAACGAAACCTGGGATTCCCTATAGATAGAAGTAGAAATATTGGTACATTGTTGTTTTATTTTCTTTTATTTTTTGTGTTGCATTCCAAACAAACTTTACGTGGGTTAAACTCACACCCAACCTGAACCCATTCACATCATCTCACATAATTTTCCCTGCATTATTCCCACCAAACCCCCCACAACCCCCATACCCCCCCCAAAAAAAAAAATCTGTTTTCCAATGATCTGGAGACTGTTACAACTTCATCCGAATGTGTACATATCTGCTGTGGGTATGTAAGGTGTGAGTCAATTTGGTATAATCAGAACTCTATACTAGAGTTAATTGTAAAAGTTTGTAGGGATTGTGTTATTTCTACAGACAATGTGATGTGAGTTTCATAAACTCTTTATTATAAAGTTTGCTTTGTATGTATGTTCTTATGTAATGAAATAAAAAAAAAAAGATGTGAAACAGTTTGGCGGATATGGTATATTTGATATGAAATAATGAATGAGTATGAACTCTTACTCGTCTTCAGAAGGTAAAAGTGATGCTGACGTGACTTTTTGGCTTTGGATGACGGTGAAATGCTGATACAACAGGATGTTTTCAGATGAATCTTGAGGTTGAGTGGTTGGAAATCAAACGAAGGGAGTTTCCTGTGAGAGCTTCTATTTTTCCAAAGAGTAAGTTACCAGCAGTTTAAAGCAGCTGAACTTCCTAAATGGTGTATAGAGTAGAGGATATTACGTGATCATAAACCAACAAACCAACCTTTCTGATCATTCATAAATCTTAAAAACCATGATTTCCTAGGCTAATTCACTTCAACGTCCATGAAACCAGAGCAGTATGTGGATTAATATGGTGTCTTGACCTTGGAAGCAGAGGAGCACCATCTGTAATGCAGCATTCATGCAACTTTACTTGTAAGGATACTTTTTCTAGACCTTGTTATAGGCCTAATATGTGTAGGAGTGAAGCTATTTTGAAGCCTCAGTCATGGAATCATACGTTAACTGTCTAATGATAAATTAACAGTTTTGGAAATTAATGTTACTGTACTTAGCTGGTCTCAAAAGTTGAACAAACTACTCCACCTTGTGGATCCATCTGGGATTTCAGGCATTAAATGTTGGCACATATGACCAGTGCCTCATCTGGTTAATCAGCAACAATAGAGAAATGTTTTGTGGTTTTATAGCCTGTCTTGTTATTTACAGACAACAAACCAAACAATAATATGTTGAATTGTCAAACAGTTGACCCAATTCTAACCTTCAGCGTACTGGAAATAATGAGGTTACAACTCCATCTAGTGGCAAAAATAGATTATTGACTCAATGAAAGTTCAAACTTACTGTACATTCACACAGATATTAAGATAAGGTGTGAACTCTATCATATCACTTTGCAATAGATACTACCTCTGTGGACTATATTTTATATAATTACTTAGTTGTTTTTTTATTCATTTATTAATTTATTGTTAAGACTGTTAAGAAATCTTGAACTCACCCTAAGAATGTAATTGAGATGACAATATATCATGAACACCCAAATTTATATTACAATTACAGACAATAGCATAGGGTGAAATCTATTATTAATCAATAATAAACATTATATTATATATTTTTATTTTTCGCATGGTTATTGTATTCGACCAAATTAAACACATGTTCATTATTTTCTATCTACTTCACACATTTTGTTAGAATATAATTTGACTGACTTAAAACAACAGGCTGCATCATTTATGTTTTTTTTAAACAGTATAAAGATGAACCAGTAATGATGGTTGAGGCCAAAGTAATGCAGAAGAGCTACCAGTCTACACCACAAGATGGGAGTGTTGGACGAGGATGCAACAACTCTGTTCTCATGACATCCCAGGATGTAAGCACTAAGCTTTGGCCATGCTACAAATCCAAATTGGTTTGATACCACACAGTGATTAGTAAGCATGAAGTGAAGAACAAAGCAACTCAGGCTAAAATGTAATCCAAGGATTTCATCAGTCACATGAGCTACATACAATTAGCTCAGAATCAGTGCGGCCATACCATGAACAAATGTTGGCATGTCTCAAACAAGAAGCTGCATTACTATAGACATTACGTATATGTGTTGATGTGACAGCACATTTGTCTAGCCCCAGTGTGAGGTAATTCACACTATACTTACAATGACTTTAAACACACAAGACATTTATTTTGCACCATTTAAATCCAATGTGAACTCGATTAAAGTTTTTTTCAGTTTAGAAAACAGCATTCAATTAATAATAATTATAATTATATGAATATAAAAAATTGTGTCAAAACTGTACTGATCTACTTATATTTTGGCCCAACAGGTGTCATGAGGATCACTTAGGTCAAACTTATTTATACGGAGGCCTATATCAGCACTTGCTCCTGACCAGCCCAGTCTCTTTAAGTAGACAAGGAAAACATGCATTAAAAACTTCACCACATAACTTAACATGTGAGACAGATTTTTTTTTTAACAGTAGAACTTTAAATCCAACCAAAATAATTCATGCCATTAACTTCCGTGTGCTACTTTAGCAGGGAAATTAATATGGGATAACACTGAAATAACTCAGGACAGGTGCAGTGTACAGAGAGATTGCAAAAAGGGATCACAGAATTGGGAGAAAGTGTGAACACCCCTAACTTTCTATGGATTGTGCAAACACCACTAATGAGTTGTACTGCATTTCGTAGTGTAGTTCAAAAGAGGATGAGACAGGGGGTGGAGATGGTGTGAATTGCATTATGTGGAGATCACTGTGACAGTTCTGTTAGTATTTCTAGTCTCTACCATCTGCTTAATGTTGCAATGTCTACAAGGCAAATTTCTTAACCAACAGACAATAAAAAACTATCTTATCTAAGTGTAATAAGCAGCTCACTGTGTCAGCTTTTTCTCTCCCCCTCCCCTTAGCCTTTTGTATATGCTTTACAGTCATCATGAACTATCTTGAGTGAATACAATATAATGAACTTATCTAGCACAGTATATTTGAATTTGATTTGAAATAATTTGAAATATAGTTCAAATAGAGGCATGACAATAGGCTTGCTTTGGCTGGGAGTCCTCTTTGCCTTGGCCAATGGGTGTCAAGTCATATGGCTTGGGTGGTAGCTGTGGATGGGGGAGGGGTTGTTTTCTTTCAATATCTCCTCTGAGCCAATAAGCAAGAGTGCTACTGAATGAATCCAATTATCATCTACAAACTATCCCCAGGAACACCTTGCACTAGGCCACTATACACTTTCATCAGATAGAATATTGATTCCCATATAAAGAATGAAAGCTTCTTTCTTACTATATAAAGATGATCCAGGAAAACCATTTCTATACATAATTACATATTATTCATATCTATTTAGATTTATATTTATATTTATTGTTCCCAACATTGGCCTTAAAAGTCTATGTGTCTAATTTCTAATATAAGTATTTTATTGTGTATTGATAACTAAATAAATAAATTCCCCACTTTTTGAAAGTTATATGCACTCTATCTGATTGTTCCACTTCTTGAATGAGGCTAGACCTAACTCATTATTAATACACATTTTCATGATTGTTCCACTTAGACCTAACTCATCAGTTAGATATTCAAATATAACGATCCAAATTTGTGGATGCATCATTACATCAAAGAAATTATACATGTTTTGACGCAATTTTTCATATGTAAAATCTGTGATCTAGAATACAGAATAAAGTTCTGATGATTTAAAAACAACATGCCCACAAAACAACAGGGTTTTGTGTTTATGGCTAAGCATGGAAATTGCAGTTTAAGGTGGACTATGATGCTAGATGTGGGTCAAATTCTTGCTTACCATATCTTATAACAATATCTTATAATGATACAATAAATCTTACAATATCTTTATATAACAACCACAAAAAGTGTGCTAGCAGAGAAGCGACAGCTGTCTATTTATATGTCTGATTATATACACTGGAGTCATTCATATTCAAACTAATAAGTGGTCATTGTCTCCAATTTAACCCTTGTAATAAAGGAACATTATGTCCCAAACTTGTGCTACTGTCCCTTTAAGAGGACGAGCTTCGTCCCTCAACAACTGTTTTATGCAAATGTGACACGCAGAACGTGCCGTGAGCCAATCAGATACGAGTTCTAACCGCGGGAGATCTAAATTTCGCGGGACGAAGTTTGGCGGTAAAAAAGCTGTTCTTCGCCAGCTCTTGTCCTCTTGTATGGAGAGCGGAGCTCTGAGGTGGACGAACAGGAATCACAGACCGGGTCGGATTCTGCATCAGAGGGGGGGTCACAATAAGTTGTAAATCTCAAACTGCAACCTGAGCTCACTGAGACCTGGAAGACCTCTGGTATCTGGACTTTAAAATACTGGATCGATGACACTGTTCACTTATTTAGGCAGCGATTTTTAACAATAACTTGTAAGGAAAGTTTCCTCTGCACTTTGTTACCGGACAAAGGATAACAACACCGACCAGTCGGCTGTATGTACTAACGATTATTACTACTAAATACGCCTGGATTGCATGTTTAATTCGTGCATTTCGAATTGAATAGGCTGGTTTCAGCTGTGTGAGTTGCTCTTGGCTCCTTCGTTATATTAGAAATATATTTTCATAGGAAGCCTGTAAGTGCAGCAGGTCGCCGGTAATAGGGAACGATTTAGCAGAGCATTGATCAGTGTGCTAAGCCAACAGCACACTTCCCCCTCCGCCTGACCGATCCGGTTAAATTTAGTTCACTCAGGAAAATGATGCGAATGCCAAAAGGCGTCTCTCCGGCATCTTGTCGGCCAGCAGTGGGTCTGTCTTGCCCTCAGCAGAAGGTAAAGGTTTTGTCCAAGGCAGAGTTGCTCGGCACCGTACTGTCCAGCCCGCCGATGAACACGGTACCGGTTGGCTATTTCACCCAGATCTGCAACACCACCGCGGCCGAACAAAGAGCCAACAGCCTGTATTCAACCCCCCACGGACCAGAGGCTAAACCCATCAGATCATCCTCCGGGCGATTGCCGGTAAAGAACCAAACACACACTACGAGTACAAGCTTCCACTACATTTACACACATTTTAATAACGAATCATTGATTCAGTGTCCAGCACAGTGATCTCTGTGCCTGTGTGTGGGCGGAATAATTCATAATTTCCATTGGTATGCGCGTTTTAGCAACGTTTGGGGCACATTCAAATATGTTTTGACGTGATAAGACACAGAGGAGCCACTGTGTCTGCTGCTGGATGTGTATGAATTGGTGTGTTCCCTTTGGCTGCCATGTTAAGTTGTGTGACATCTTTTCCCGCAGTCCAGCTGTAGCTAGACAAGACCAAACGCTGTGTGTGTGTGTTTGATAGGGAGGAGGGGGGTAGTTGATAGTGGTGGGGCCCCTCTCTTATGAAAAGGAAGGATGAGTGGCCCCCGCAGTGGGAGATAGCTGGGGCAGCAGGGGTACACAATCAAACAATGCTGGGGGGTGACCAAGCAGATGACACTAATGTAAACACAGTATTTTACACTCGTCTCTTATCTTCTTTTAACCATTTTGGGAACTGAAAATCAGATCTAATTTGAGAAGAAATATTCCCGAGCTGTAGCTCACACTCTTATTTGGACAGTTTTTTTTGTGATCACACCTACATGACAGCTGCTCCTACTGCACCTGTCATTAAGGCAACACAGGACCTGTGTAACCTGTTCATCTCACTGTAGGAAGGAGCTGGAGGTCAGAGGTCATAACCGGACAACTGGCATGTTTTCCTGGGAACTGACGTGTGTATGCTCAGGTGGAAAGTTCTCTTAGAAACACTAAAAAGCTTCATGTACATCAAGTGAATTGTTTATGTAGGAAAAATGAAATGAGAACTGTATTCCAGCCATTTTACAGGCAGTATGCTTCTTATTGCTGAAGGATTATTTGAAAAGCTTGATGATCTGAGAGGATTGGATCGCACTCAGAGACTTGTTAGTGCTCCACACCTGCTGTTGTTTGTTATATTGGTCTCCTCCTTTCTCGCCAGCCCTGAAGTCCTTTTAGATTTAGTGAATTGCAGTAAAGCTAAAGGGGGTTAGGGGTTAGAGTGTGTGCAGCGGGTCCAAATCTCATGTTAACCCCCTAGCCCTTACGCCTGTATTTACTAATAGGCCCTTCAAGAGGATTAGTTGGACGTAAGTAAAGAAATAGGCTGCCACCTGGCTTATCATATGCTAAGGTGAACTTAATTGCGATTCATGCCTGTATGTATTCATGGATTTGTACATGTCACATGGTAGAATGATACATAAAAATGTTATCCCCTCTTTTAATCCAGCATTAAGACCATTTCATGTGACAGATAGTTTGACCCAGACTAATATAGAATGTGGGCTGACAGGGTTGATGATGTAGATGAATTGAAGATAAGAAGCCACAATGGACAGGGTGTTTTCACACTGATAATTGTGTTGTCTATTCTTCCTCTCTGCCATACATCCAATACACTCAGTGTGTTTGGATTTATCGTGAACATATTAACTTCGATTTTTAAGTGACTTGCAGGGCTGGTGTACACAGGTGTACATGACAGCTGGTGGAAAAAAAAAATCATTGATCACCACAATGAGAGCTTCATTGAGGTGAGAAAGAGCAATGCACTTTTGAAATTACACAGCAGGTTTCAAAAGTCCCAAAGTCCCATAATTATGAAACTTCCCCAGCACTTTTCAGTGAATTAGGTAAACTTTCCGGTGTGTGTGTGTGTGTGTGTGTGTGTGTGTGTGTGTGTGTGTGTGTGTGTGTGTGTGTGTGTGTGTGTGTGTGTGTGTGTGTGTCTTGTAGACGTATTATACTATGAGTAGTTGATTGGGTGAAACTTTTTAATATATGTCTCGTTCAGAGCAAAAAAAAAAAAAGAGTAAAGGAACATCAAGGCTAGTGATGCCCATTTAATTCCTATATCTAAAAACGACAGCGACACAAGGGTTGGTGTCCCACTGATGATCATCTCACCGCTTCCTCTTTTTTGGTCTAACATTTTTTTGGGATCTTATCGTTCTCTGATACAGACCTGCATTTCTAAAGTACTGATGGCAGCGCACACAAAGTTGAGTCATTCAGGGTCGTTTCTCGAATACTAGAACATATTGTCTCTACTGCCGGTTCCCTAAATACTGAGATTTAGATGCACAGAGCAGTATCCAAATGAAGGTGGGCTTCAGCTTTCAGCCACAGAGCTGAGAGTGATCTTTTTTGTCTTTCTCTTTACGAACTATAAAAGGCAGAGACTTAATTTGTAGTCACTTTATTCATTTGGACATGAAGTGGCTGTGTTAGGTTCAGTGATGTGTGCACTAACAGTACATGACTATCAAACAATGCAAATGCGTCATCATTATGATAATTAAAGGGATAAAAAAGAGTAAATACATAGTAATGTTTCTGAATAATTATTTGGCATGTGGTTTTATGTGTTGTCATGACTAAGGGCAGCTATTATGCAACATACATTTGATATGATACATAAGTGCTTGCTGACACAGCAGCTTGAGTGCGTGTTCAGTCATGGGTCTTATGTTTACAGGAAGTGTCGCCTGTTCATGTGCAGCTCACTTCCTTCAAATTAAACAGCATAATTACCACTTTCTTTTGAGCTTTTTTTGACTGTGGTACAGGATGCTTGGCTCAGTGTTAGAACCTGAGTTCCTTTAAGTACAAACATAACTAAACAAGGCTATGCATCATTCATGTGTGATCCTACACTTGAAAGCTTGCTCACGGGGCACGTGCTTTCAAAAACACTCCCAAAAAAAAGTTAATGTTTGACTTCAGCTGAAGAGATTCTGCCTATAATTGTTAATCATGCTAAGTGTAGTAAAAGGCAATGTGTTACTGATTGTCATGTGAGTCTTAACCAGGGTATATTAACGGTTGATAATGTTGCGTTGCTCTGTTTCCTTTCAGCTTGATAGTGATGTAAATGTGTTCAGTCCTCCCTCCAAAGTCCAGGGGCTGTCTGGATTTGACAGCTGCTTTCACATCAGACCTCATCCTCAGTGCTCTGCAGCAACACAGATGAATGAATTTGTCTGTTTCAGATACAGCAAGTAATGTTTACTACAGCCGAGTGCCAGTTTGGCCAGAAGATGCATCTGCATTATGTCGATCGCCGGAGACAATGTCCCACTTATTCCCTGCTTTATGTCACGTGTGCGTGTTCCCAGATTTTCACGGAATGTTCACAATCTGCAAAACTGCATAAGCATTCAAATCATTTTCATGAATTACTCTTTCTGCCACTAGGTAGGAGCACACAGCTCTTCTGTGAGGTTTTCCTATAACCTTCAGTGCTGCCTTGAATCACCTCCTGGATCCGTCCTTCTTGGAACCCATGTAGTTAGCCCCCGTTGACACTGATGTCGCCTGGGTGTGACATTGGCCACATTGCCAATTGTATGCATTCACCCAAAATTATCCTTCACCTTGTTTTACCGCCGCCTCAGGCCAGCGCTGGCCCTGGAGCATAATGTCCTCAATTGGGGGAGTTTGCATTTCAAAGCAGCCCACTACCCCCTACCCCCTGCACCGGCAACCCAAATGGGCAGATCCACCCTTCTCTTTCTTCCCTTGAGGGACACATTGACATTTTCAGCAATGTAGCCATTGTTTTTCTATTGACTACCCAAGGGTGTGGTAGTGAGGGGTTTGTGTAAGGAAGGAGTAGCTCTTTGCAGGCATACTGTAACTTGCCCTTGACTTGGATGGAATCTGAGTCCCATGCAGCTCGACTGACAAGGTTTGTTGGTTTGAGGAGAGGCCCGGCAGCAGAAGTCCTTCACGTGACTCTGACTTTGTGTGTGAAATACCAATGTGGAAGATTTCACCACAGTGGCAGAGACAGCGGGAATCAGCCAAAGAATGTACAACAAACAGAGACTGCCATGTGCAGTGCTTGGGTGTAACTGGGCAGGCAAGCAGGGTGAGGTTATAGCAAACGTGAGTGGGGTGATACTGCCGGGTTTGTGAGATAAAGAGGTAGTAGGAGGCTAGTTGACTCAGGCCTCTCACAGGAGTGGCCTGCTGCACAGTAACTCGGGAGTTTAAAATAGAATAACATGCTTATTATATTAATTATGATGCACACAATGTCCAGCTGTCTCTCTAAGACTAACCTGATGATCAGATTCATCAGGTTATTCTTTCATGACCTTTTGTGTGTCCTGAAATGACTGTGTTTCAGGCAACATGCCTGCGTGTTTGACCTTAAATTACCATTTGTAATAACTGCATTTTTCTCTCATATATATCTATACTGAAAGAAGCACACCCTGGCTTTCTACTTAAATGAAGTTGTGTTTGCGTAATATGGTTGACTCACCAGAGAAATCCATCATGCAAAAAAGGAGCACCCAAGCCCCCACCTTAACCCGTACAGCTGCAGGGTGAAACCGTTGGTTCCCTCTTACAACATGTCACCGTGCCTGTGGCTGTGACTTCTAAAGCGCAGACCTGCGAGCCTGAAAAATGTAGATGTGGTGCAGTTTGATCTGCACATCTAGGTTGCGGAAGTTATGAAGCTCCACTTTATTAAATGTCAAGGTTTTTGTGATTGAACCAGAAAGAACTTTAAACCACAGCCGTCACTTTGTAGACACTGTTCCTAATTCCCCTCTGTGAGCCCTTTGTGTTTGACAGCTATTGTCAAACAAACAAACAAACAACACAGGTTTTAATCCCACAAGTGTTAACAGCTACCATTTTGTTACAAAGTAGCTGGTCACTGTCCGGTCCTGTGTCTCTTTGTGTCCTGCTGAAGTGTCCGTGCGGCTGCCTGTGTGCTGTGGGGATTAAAAGCCGCCCTGCCAACAGCACGTACACTTGCTGTACTTGCTCCAGATGTCGCCAGTCAACAGGTGGACATGTCAGGGAGCACACTGGGACAATGGCTGCCTTTATTATCCCCACACTCGCTCGGGCGCATCCACACGTGGTTAAGTCAATGCGCCACTTTTTCCATCTCTGAAAACTGTTGTCAGTTGCCTAAACCGATTAGGCAAAGCAGCTCACTGGCTTCTTATTCACTGCAGTGACAAAAAAAAAAGGGAATTGTAGTTGTGTTTGTTAAGAGACTTGGAGGAAAGGAGAATACAGAAAAGGTGAGGTCCTAACCAGATGCTACAAATTACCCAGCAGCCTCAGTAACGCCAAGCTGAAATCCCACGCTTCATGAGCTCAGTCACCAGTGTGTTTTTGAGTGTGCGTCTTGCGTGAAGGAGGAATGACATACTGATTGACTGCAAACTTTCCTGTCCACTGTCAACGTTTGTTGGTGTTAACAATTCACTGGCAGGAATGCTGCGTGTTCGGGTGTCGCCAATTTGCGCAAGTTGGCATTTTTCAGACAGTTGGTCATTTCTTAATCCTTCAAGAGGGAGGCTGTGTCCTTGTGACTTTCACTTTTGTTATGTAGGTCATTGCAAAAACTAATGGTCACATTAGTTTATATTGGGGTCCAAAGGGTGTGTGTGTGTGTGTGTGTGTGAGAGAGAGAGATTTCAGTTGAGGCTACAGGCCTTGGAATGCATGATGCATTACAGTTATAGTCAGGTAATCGTGTTTGTGTGTTAAGCTGTAGAAGAAAGGCGATGTAGGGAGGCTCGAGAGGGGGAGGAGAGGTCATTGAGTGATTCCAGGGATTTCCTGGAGTTTTGTAGGCAGTGGGTTGAGACTTGAAACCCCCCCTACACACACACACACACACACACACACACACACACACAAAATCAGCCCTTCTTGAAGTGCTTGGGAAAGTGTGAGTGCTTTGTTTCTGCACTTGAGGGCTGTTGGCACATTTACGACACAGCACTTTTCAACACCCCACCCTCCCCCCTATTTAGCACTTTGGCCAGCATTGATGTCACAGTTTCATGGAAGGGCTGGACTGACCCTACACAATACATTTTAACAATTTAACTTGTCCTTATGGAAAGTCAGTGAGGTTTGTTAAGTAGGAAGCATGGCAGATTGTTTCCAGCAGACTATAGACTGGCAAGGAAGTCAAACGAGGAACCTTATTCACACTTGGTATATTTTTATGATGACCAAATGGTTACTCTTTGCTCTTGGCTCTTAAATGTTCCTGTTTTTTTTTTTTTTATAACGGATGTAAACTCTCTGCTCTCTAGGCTAAAAGGAAGCTGGATCTAGAGGACCCTCTTTATCTCCCAGAGTTCCGCACGCCAAAAGGCAAAGGCATCATCACAACCAGGGTACCAAGTCCAAGGAGTGAGTACACGGCGTGGATCAGATGTGAGGGGAGGAAGTGTAATGTAGTGGATTTTCCTGGTACATACGAGAGGTGCACTAATACTAGTGTTGGTATCTATGCTGAGTTAGAAGTCCTTCTATTCTTGTCAAAGCTTCTATTTTTTATTTTACAGTAGAAAAAGGTAGAGGTCATTCAAAGAGAGAGCTGGAGACACAATAGGATTATTAAAACAGGAAATAGCAATGACAACAAAATCATGTGAAAAAAGACAATAAAATACTGTACAAAAGAGATAAGTCAGGAAGTAGTATAATTACAGTTCTTTACAATGGTCACAATCCAAAAGGGGCTGTTAAGGGGATGGAACTAGGTGTTAAGGGTAAGTGGACGGGGCACTTTGGGAGACTGTATGGGGGAAATGCTCAAAGAGGGCAGCTTGATGGGTTGTGGAGACGTTATCTTAAAGGATGGAAGCTCTTTTAACCAGAGAGAAAAGCAGCACATGGACTAAATGTCCCAGGAACTCAGGAGCCCCAGAAACTAAAGTTTGTCAAATTATTAGACCCATTATTATGACGGATTAGAAAATGAAAACTTGGTTTTAGACAAAGTTTTGGCACATGATACAATGGCACAGTGTCCTCTCGTGGGAGATGGGGACAGTTCAGCATTGCACACAGCAGACAGTACCATCAGGGATTATTATTCATTTTTCTATTTCAAATACCATGCACAATAGAATAAAATGATTTATCTATGAATGAGATATCAAACAGAATGCAAAATGAGTCAGACAGGAAGAAAGACACATTCATAAAAGAGTTTGTTTTCATGGTATACTGTTGACAAAAGCTTGAATGACTAATGTAAGTATCTGAATCAGTACTCCACATCAGCTGATCAACTGAATGAAGTACTCAAATTAGTTCAGAAAAACAGGATATATGTGCACCTCAAGTACATGCTTAAATATCTGCTCTGCTTCACACCGTTCTCCCCTCACGTTCCATTTGTCTGCATCTTCGCCCCTCAGCTCCAAAGTCTCCAGGTGAGCGGACGCGCTACGACACCTCCTTGGGCCTGCTGACTAAGAAATTTGTGGGTCTGATTGCTGAGTCTCCTGATGGAGTTCTTGACCTGAACTGGGCCACCGAGGTTCTGGAGGTCCAGAAGAGACGCATCTATGACATCACCAACGTCCTCGAGGGAGTCCAGCTGATCAGAAAAAAATCAAAGAATAACATCCAATGGCTGTGAGTCGAAATGGATCAGCAGAGATTTAATAACCAGAATGAGAATAATCTGAAATTCCAGCTAATAGAAGACATAGTTGGAGGGAAATGGGTCAGACATTTAGATGCATTCACTGTCTCTGGTCAGATCATGGCTCTTGTTAATAAATCTGTCAACAACACAGTTTTATCAGCATTTGATGCAAGAACTTCTGAAGATTTCAATAAAAAAAAAAGCAACCCAGCAGTACAACACCATAAACTACAGTCTCCAAATGATCAACAGCTCTCTGACACAGTCACAACTAAAGTGAAACCACATTCCACAAAGGTTGTGTTTATTGAAGAGCTGTTGTGTTGGATTGCATAGCAGCAACTCAGTGTATGGATTCCTGCTCACACATCTGCCACCTAGTGGCTGTAACTAGACATTAGAACATCTTTAGACAACGCTGAATCACCACCATTTAGAAAGCTTACTATCTGTTACACCATCTGCACTGTTACTCATTTCAATGCAATCAAATCAAATCATCAAACATGCTTTTTGTTTTGCTTATTTCTATGCTTATGTGTGGTCCTGCAGGGTTGGAGATGTATTCGAGGGCGGTGCAGGTGGAGGAGAGAAGGCTTGTGCCCTGAGGAAAGAGCTGGGAGACCTGGAGCGAGCAGAGAGATCTCTGGATGAACTGATTCACTCCAGCACCACACAGCTCAAACAACTCACTGAATATAAAGACAATCAGAGATATCCTTTACATACGTCTCGGTGTTTGATTACATTCCCGCTGCAACTCTCCTGTGTTTGGTTACAAAGCGTACATCCACCTAATATCTGTTGCTGTTGTTACCCTTGACCCCGCACTGCACGTTTGGCTATGTGACATACCAGGACATCCGCTCCATCGGCAGTCTCCGAGACCAGACAGTCATTGCCGTCAAGGCCCCAGCTGAGACCAAGCTGGAGGTGCCAGACACAGCGGGGGTGAGAGCGCATCTTTGTTTGAATTTTACACTGTGTTCTGCTTGTTTCCTCCTTCTCACCTCTTTCAGTTTGTAGGCCTCTGCACTCAATGTGAATTTTTTATAATGTGTCGATATTGCTGTCAGATGGATGTTAGTCTTGTAAAAAGTTTTAAGACAAATTAGTTTGGCAGGAACATTGAGTAACCCAGATCATTAATGATTGTACAAACACATTTTTTGTTGGTTAAAACTAAAAGAAAGCTAAATGAAATACAAGCAAGGAAACTAGTAACTAGTAAACTAGTGTGTCTGATGTGCTAAATAGCAATCTGTGTCCCTTTCTCCTTACAGCAGGGGTCATTACAGATCTATTTAAAGAGTAAGAACGGCCCCATTGAAGTCTACCTGTGTCCAGAGGAGGGTCTTGAAGATGCTAGCCCAGTGAAGAGCGCTGTCACCCCTAAAAAGGAGTTCCCTCAGCCCCTCTGCCCTCCAACTGTAACACCAGTGGCACCACCAAGTTACACCATCAAAGAGGAGCCTGTCGAATGTAAGCTGGAGTCTCTGAAGGGTCACGTACCGCACTGTAGGATTCTGACTTTAGCACTAACTGTCCAGATTGAGGAGGCACAGGTTTTTAGTCATGCACTCCAAAGATTAAAATAATAATAATTTTGACATTTATACTCTTAGTATTTCTTTCTTGCTGTGTTGCAGTAGTTGAGAATATCAGTGTCTGCCTGTAAGCTGAGGAGCTGGAGCCAGGAGAGAATTAGCCTAGCTTAAAATTAAGACTGGAAGCAGAGGTGAACAGCTAGACTCAGTCCCGAGTTCAAACATGTGCTCAACGGAACCTCTAAAGCTCAGTAGACATGACATTTTGTGGTCACATGCTGTTAAACTGTAGAGTTGCGCAGTAGAACCCCACACTCAGCCACACAGAACTAAACTTCAGCCTCTCCCCTGCTCTGTCCTTTCCTCAAAACACAGGCGCCATGTCTACAGCAGCTCCAGCCACCTCCTCAGCTGCAGCCTCCAGTTCCTCTCTGCTGGACGTAGAGGGCCTGTTGGGTTTGCCCCCGAGCCTGCTGCAGATCACAGAGGACCAGCTTCCTGGCACCTCATTCACCCCAGATCCCAACACACCCTTTGTCAGTTTCTCTCCACCCTTGGACCACAACGATTACCTCTGGAGCCTGGAGGATGGCGAGGGAGTGTCAGATTTCTTCGACACCTATGATCTTGGAGATTTGTTGTCCAGCTGAGGTCCAGATGAAGGAGGTGGGGGAAAAAATTTAAGAGGAAGAGGGGGAAATATTGAATTGAATGCCTTCTCGAAGTAGGAAATATTACACTATGAAGCCATCACTCTTTGTTTTTGCCATGCCTGTTTTAATGTCAATGATTCCAAAAGGGTGGTTTACCCCCTTTAATTAATTTTAATAAAGTAAAAATAACAATTGTAAATATAATTGTAAAAAAAAAAAATGCCCAGACAGGGAGGATGGGTAAGACTGAGATCAACACTGATTGGTGTAACCTCCAACCATACGGAAACACTGTTTAAAAAGCAGGGATTGTTTTGGACTTTCTGTCACATTTTCAGATTGTGCTACGAAGATAAACATTTGTAACGTCATACAAACACAGGAGTTATTATGCATATCACAGCAACAGCGAAAGACCTGATAACATTTGGGTATCAGGCGGTGTTTACGGTGTGACATCTCAGGAACTTTTATTTTTTCTTTTTCTTCCTTGTTTCCAAAGTCTAAATGTTTGTGCCAGTCTTTGGCCCGTAGGGGGCAGCCTTGTATTATGTCAGCTTTAACTGCCGTGCAGCTTTACAGGATTCAATCACTGGATGTGAGAAAGCTAAAGCCATGAAGAACCATTCACAGGGTGTTTTTGTAGGAGTCCTAGTGTCTTCAACACGGACCAAATGAAGCTGTGAATCACTTGTTTAACACCAGCCTTGTAGATCCGCTTGCATCTACAGCTTGAACATGCAGTATCGTGTGAAATCTGAGCATAGAAATTAGACATACAACTGATTTTGAAAGTGCTGATGTTGCGTCTGTCTAATCAAGTTTGCTCTTTCCTGCCTTAAGCTTTACGTCAGGCCTTGTACCTGTTTGGTGCTGCGCTGTGTGCCAATCTATGCAGGTTGAGACACCCGATACTGGACCCACAGCCAGAGTTAAGTGACCGATAATGGTGGCAGAACAAGAGGATCACACGCTCTGTCTTGTAGGTTTAGCAGCTTTGGTTTCAAATCCAGTTTTCTCCCCAATTGATAGCGGAATTTTAATTGATGATTTTCTTTTATTTGCTTGTGTAAAACTACTATTGTATTTCTGAGGAAATAACCCAAAAGAATGAAATCCAACATCTGTGTTGCAGGTGTGGTGGAAGGTCAGTTAATTAATGTAATTAAGGTTTAATAAGAGGAACGTTTTCTTTTTCCTCTGCTTGTTCTGAAATGAATGAAGTCTGTTGATTAAACAGCAAAAGAAACAATGAGGATTTGATCTTAACTGTTCAGAATTTAGGCCCATGAATGCTCTCCCTCATGTTATGGTGCAACCCTTTTTTCAATGTCAGAGACGTGCACCTGAGATCAGAGCGGTTGCAACTTTTATCTGTTAAAGTTTTTTTTTTTTTTTTTTTTTAAAGCATTCTAGACATTTGGAAATTTGAATTTCATGCTGATGTATTTTTGGCTTTCCCTCTACATTGCAGAGATAAGCTAACTGTCCTGTCCTAACAAAACTTGAAACCGTGTGCTTGTGTGTGTGTGTATTTGATAGCTTGGGAAATGGGTGTCATGGTGTGTTTGTGTGTGTGTTTTTACAGTGTAGATTAGAGAATGTGAATTCAGAATTTGTAGTTTTTTTTTTTTTTGATGAGCATTATTTTTCTGGTATTTGTACATAATTTGTTTTGTATTTATACCTATTTTTTTCTGAAATTTTTTGGAAGTTGATACTGGCCTTTCTGCAGAGGGCACGACTGTTTTTTGTATGACATGCAGCACTTAATATTTTGTAATATTGTGTGGTCTGTTTGAAATTATTAAATAAATACTAAAGCCATGGTTTACACTTGGAATTATGATCCATTTTTATTTTAATCACTTTCCATGTCAGAAACCTGTAGTTTCTATTGCATTTTTTTTTAATTTAGTTCTCACTTCTTCTCACTGAACTTTTCTTTTTTTCATCTAGGCTCGCCATCAATAAATCTTCTAGCTTCTGCAATGTCATCCTTTATCTGACCTGACTCTTACTGGAAAAATCCATTGATATAAGGGCTCATTGCATTTCACTGGCTCAAATCAAAATATGGAGTCCTGTGCCTAAAAACAGCAAGGGTATGGCCACTGAGGATATTGATCTAATAAGAATTGACATTCCCAGAGGAGGCAGAATGGGCCGACATGAAGAGTGACAAAGACACTGAATGAGCTATAAACATGTTCCGACAGGTAGACAAAACCCACCCATCATTCTTTGTGAGTTGGTTGCTTTGGAAACAAGCTCACAAAAGGCAGGGGGCAGGCAGGAGGTCAAAGTTCAGTGGGTCAGTGTGGAATGGGGTTAATGCATTCTGGGGGAAATACATTTGCATGGAAATATAGCACAGATTTGCTAGTTAATATATGTGTGTATAGTGTTGCGTGTTACTTCTCTTTGAGAATGACTAAAATGGAATAATGGAAAATGATTAAAAAAAAAAAAGCTGAAATGTAATAATGGACAGTCGAATACACGAGGAGTGTTCAGTGTGGGTTGTTCCTTAGTTACCAGACAAGGGTCAGCCAGATGTTATTGTTATTGTGACTCTATTCTTCAGAGAGAACCTTATTCTTTTGAGGTGAAGTTTATTGGCCAAATCACTTAGCCACAGTTAACTTCCTTCTTCTGGCAGAATGTCAAAATGATTTTTTTCACTGTAATCAGAACATACAGGAGAGAAGTTGCGGCTGTGCTCTGTTTAATACAGATGTGGAATCAGAATTTCCCAGTACAATTAAGACAGGATGAGGTAAAAGGAGTCTCTTGTGCTTCAGCCCCTCCACTAATGGAGGTTTGCAGCTCTCAGAGTAGGACAGGATCAGGTTCAATGTGGATATTAAGAATATGAGAGAATGATTTAAAAGTTTTTGTCCAATATCTCTCTATCCTGGGACACAGAACGACGCCATGGAGGACATTCGCCTCTGCGATAGTGCATTTATCACACAGTGGGGAGATGTCTGGAAACGTCTTGGAAAGCTTTGATTTCAAATAAATTGAAAGTAATTTAATATACGATCAAAAGTTTATGGACCCTATACTCTAAAGGACGTGTATGAAGACAGGAAACACGCATTTATTGTATGCTCACAACAGACGAACATTCAAATGTTGTCAGCAGAGCTTAAGAGGGAAAAAAAAGGCTTGAGCTTGTGCAAGTGGACTGTCTCTGCTTGCACATGGTCCACTGTGCCAGTTTTTTTTTTTGCTAACTCTGGCATGTGCCTGTTTCTGAGCCAACATCAGGTGTGTATTAGTGTTAAGTGTCTATTAACAGATGTTGCGCACAACAGCTCATGTGTTTAACAAGAGGTCACAAACTGAAGTGTCAGACACCACATACACACACATAGCCTTCGACTGTGTGGTTTACATGCTATCTAAACAACAGAGCACCTCAGTTATGTTACGTCACACCTTCAGACCAGCTGCTGTGACAACAAGAGACTGAAGTAAATATTGTTAGCTGAATGCTTAATTTGCCAAAAGACTTCAATGGGTTTCTGTGTGCTGCTGCCATCGCATAAATAAGGTGACAGCTCGTCAATGCGCAGCACCAACCTGTGGCCAAAACACTGCATGTCATTGTTTAAGGCTGCTGGACACATTATTTTCATTAAGAGTGGGAACAATTTAGTGACTATAGTTGGTGCTTTTAGGTGCACACACAATCTCACTTAGAGCCACTGAAAGCCTTGAACCGACTCTGGTAAAGTATGACGTCTAAGCAGGTCTAAACAGGCCATTTCTAAATCATTTTTTTTCTTCTTGGAGGTATAAAAGCACTTAGTTATCTATTCAACAGATATTCAATGAATAAATTGAAGTTATTCAACAGATTGTTGGAATGGTTCTAGGAAAATGTGAATTAAATTTTTCCTCAGAATTATTAGTAAATGTCTTGATTGACACTGTGACGTTGTGAATCCTATGTAACTCTGCCTTTATAATGGACTATGAATCACAAACAGGTTTGACTACCTGGTCCCTGTCTGGAAAATGTTCTTGTTGCCATACCAAGTGTGACGACAGGGCATGCTGGAGAGGACGTCTTTCTGAGGGTGGGGTTCATGGGCAGATATGTTGGCAGGCAAGAGGCGAGAGGTAATGCATGACACTGGACTGATACGCCTCAGTCAGTGAGTCAAGGATGATCACTAAATCTGTCACTAAATCTGATGCAAACCACCATCAAAGGTGTTTTCTAGCACATACTCTTGGTGCAATTGCACAGGTTCCTGAGGTCAATAGCTTTCAATCGAGGGCCTATCCTGTTCAAGACACTTCATAATTATTCCAGTGGGAAACTTGAATCACAATGTTAGACAATAAATCAACCCCCCCCCCCCTTTCTTTCTTTCTCTCTCCAGTCCTCCCATTTTCAGTCAACCGCGTTGACCAGAAGAGGGGGTATTTTACGGTAAGCCTGGGCCTCATGGCTTGACAGGGGTAGTAAATTGATAGCAGAACCAGTGGAGCTGAGTCAACATGCAGAGTGGAGAGGGAGAGGGAGAGGGAGATTTTTCAGTAAAGTTGTTAGTAGACATTATGCTACTCCTCTGGGCTGCTGGGAAGCAGCAAGGAAATCCTGGCAGCTGCAATCTTTACTGGAAGATGTCGCCACGACCTCTCTTGCTGCGGGTGTGTGTGCGTCAGAGAGAAAGAGAGAAGCTGCATTTGGTGTACTTCACTTCCAGACAGCCAAAACTTCAACTGCTCACAGGCTATGTGGAGACTTGGTGTGAAGAAAAAAAGGAGTATAGCCCATGTTCATGATGGAAATAAAGAGTGAAATTGCCATTAGCAGTAGCAGAGAGTAGGTACAGTATGTGGTGTTTAGGAAGGAAAAGGGTGGAGACAAGGAGGAAAACATTGAGTGAGTCACTACAGTTTGTGATCTCGGACAATGAAGTTTCTCTCTATCGTTTTCTCCTTTCCTCTTGTCATTTCACCTTTGTCTTCCTCCCTGTGCAGCACATCTCCCACACTCACTCCACCTTCCAAAACTATTTCCCTTTGTCGATTCCCCGTTTCTCCCCTCCACCACCTCCAACACCCACCCCCACCCCCCACCCCCCGTCCTTGGACTTGTGTTCTCCACTATATGTTAGTTCACTGCCTAAGCAGACCGGTTTGCTGAGTTTTACAACAGGACAACAGGCTTGAAGGCTGGCAGACGCACAAAGGCTCTGCTTCTTTACTAGGGGCCGCAAAGAAACTGAAGGAGGGTATTGTTGGGACACAGCAAGCCTCTGCATTACATCAGCCCAGACATTCATGCAAAATGAGCATGCAGACACTCATATGTTGCACATATATCAATATATACAATAATAGACACCTACATGTATCCATGCAAACTGTTTGCATTCATTCTCATCAGTTTTTCTCTTCCCCTCACCAGTGTTCTTGTATCATACATACAGGCATGCAACCGAAACAATGAGTGAGGCCCTGTTAAATTGGGTCACCAAGCCTATTTATGTGGCTCTGCACTGTTTGGAGTTCGTCGCGTGCCTTCACTTCCTCATAAGAGTAGGCATTGTTTCTTCATGATCAATAGGGCGAAGAGAGAGTTTTCCAGCTTCTCTTCTGGAGACTTTAGTGCACATCTTTTTAATTTTATTGTTGTCTAAACTTGTAAGAACATGAGAGGGATTTTGTGTAGTCTCCAGTGAATTTTCACTTTTGCTTTCAGAGGGTCACATCCCATAACCACTCTTTTAAAGTCATTTGGTGTGTATGAGTTTTTTGCTAAGCGCAGAGACTTGCGACACAAAAAGGAGTTTGTCTATCTTTGTGAATATAAACACAGCACCACTGTGAGTGTGCACACAGCTCAGCTCTGCACTATTCAGAGTGGCAGTAATAAGTAGTTACAAAGAACAGATAAAACCCTTTTACCACAAAGTGAGGCTATTTTTTCTTGGATCATGAATATGGTTAAAATAACCTCAAGTTGCCTATAGAGCTGGGACTAATTTTCCCTTTATAGAGCTAATGTAGGGAAATATGTGGTTTTGTGGTAGAACCAAAGGGAGCCACTGTATTGACGCCACTTCTAAAACCACCCATCTGCACTTCATAATGTATTGTATCACTGCTCTCCCTGAGGCATGGTACGGTGATACACCTCTTCTTTGAGTTGACAAACTTGACAATGCCAGGCATGCAGGAGTTATGTTCTATGCACAACTACTGTAGTTTTTTTCCCCCATCTCTCTGATGCACTCTTTCCTTTGCTTTCATTTTGTTAGTGGGGAAAGACTTCAGAAATCCTCCCCCTCAATAAAAAATGCCTCCTTTTCATAAGATGAAAAGGAAGCAGGAGCTTTGGAGCCTCAGCCAAGCAGATCAAGGTGCAAAGATCCAATGAGACGTTATACCTCCAAACTAATGATTAAAGAGCAGTGCAGATGAAACCACCTTCTTTCCTTTTTGTTGCAAAGCATTGCGCATTGCTTGAGATATGGTGAATATGTGCAAATGCTGCATCTGTTTAAGTTGTGTTTTGTGCAAATGCATAGAGTACTTAACATAAAATTGTTCTTTTCATCTATAAGTGCAGAGATGAACTGTATGCCTCTGGCTCTCAGCAGTTTTTTCCCCCAGCAATATGCACCTCATCCATTGAAATTCCTCTCCTTCAGTTTAGTCTTTGAATGAGGCATTCTGCATATCCATGGCGACCACAGTGCGGATTCTCTAGAGTTTGCATAGAAATGAGAAGTAAGAATGAAAGAGAGGAGGGCGAGCGAGCGCGCGCGCGCGCACATATACACACAGACACACTCTTTTCTCTCTCTATGCAGTGTGCAGAGCAGCACAAACGCACAAACATTCCCACGTGATGATGGAGTTTGCTCCCTCCCTCACTGAACCGCACAATAGCGCGCTGGTTCACCTCCACGCGCACAGATTCACTGAGCGGAGTCTAAAATCGGTCAGGACTCGGGTCTAGTTTTGGAAAACTTTCCACCTCAACGACGCTTTTTGGGGCACTACCACTGTGAGGAATACGGTCTCACTTCAGTTGTCATCTTGCAAACACTGGAGGAGTAAACTTATTTATTTTTTTCTTCAAATGGGAATTACATGCGCGCGTGAAACTTTGGCTCACTTTTCTCCTCAGTGACTCTGGGACCTTCTTCGCTCGAAACATGCCGGAGCGAATAAGCATTTCGGACTTCGTGGTCCTGACTAACGAGGATTTGTCTTCGCCGGGGACTTCAAGTTTTCAGTCCAAAATGAGCGACTGTAGGAACACGGTTTCAACCGTGGAGGAGGTGAGGGGCTGAAGGAAGGAGACACACAGAGACGTGCACCTTTGTTTGTTGTTTACCTGTCAATATAGCATATAGCTGAAGAAGGGTTCCACGCTTACCTGTAGCTGCGACTAGCTAGATTAGTTTTCTCTTTTCTGACAGTTGTTTGGTTTTTACGGCACTGTTAAGATAAACTGGTTATACATCGTTAAGTAGTTTCTTTGAAGTTGTTCAACTTTGTGTCCAGGTGAGCACAGCTGTCTGAGACAAACATGCAGTGAGCATGCACTGCTCCTGGTAAAACCTGATAAAATAGGCTAATGTCATTCCACCAGCTGTAATAGGCACCTAATGCTAACAGCAACGGGATTATTTACAAAGGGGCAAGTGCAACTGGTGTTGGGGCAACATCTTTTTGTAAAGAAATGTGTGTCTCTGGTGTGGTGATTTTGGGGTGACCTGGGTGCACTTAACATCCGTTAGAAGATGGTGTTAAGTATCTGGTACTGAACTGAACAATATCACAGTCCATAAGTTTTTTGACCACTTTTATTAAGGCTGAGACATGGTGTATGGCTTTTGTACTGCTTGCGTGTGTGTGTATGTTCTGGGTGCTGCACTAGTACAGTCTTTACAGGGTTCGTGGTAGCATTCAAGGCAGACTGGCCTGGTTCAGCAGATGTGTAAAGGTTATATGAGGTAATACAGCATACAGAAGGTTTACTTTGCCCTGTCTGAGACAATACACACACAGAACACACACACATGACACAGCAGACATGCCAGACAAGAGGGTGGCCCTTTGACAGAATAAGGGATTGTTTTGTAGTGTGAAAGTGTGCATACACATGTTTGACCATGCTTTTGCGAGCCTGTCGGTGAAGTGAAGGCCAGTTTGATCATTTTGTCTGTTTGAACTGGTACTATGGCTTAAGGCTTGTTTGAGGTTGTGTGTGTTTGTTTGAAATCTGTTCTCCCGAAGCTCCTCGGGCAAAGGAGGAAACAGAGGGAGACTGCCATGAACTCTGCCATAAAACAAATAATCCAAATGTGCACACAAGTTTTTCCTTCCTTGTATGTCTCCTTGTGACAAAACATGGTTCACTGTAACCCAAGCCGGAGTTCTGTTTTCAGTCAGAGCTCACATTAGTTTGCATCACCAAACTGAGGATATTTTTTCTAAAATACATAATGTGGAAAAATGATATAGTTTCCTTTTGCAGTGGTTATTTGACAGCAGCAATTCACTCAGCAATAATTCAATTTAAATATCCTAATAATTCACTGATATTAAATGATGGAATCAAATGGATACATTACCCATTAATGCAGGGGGTCTTAAAAGGTCTATGTGAATTGAAAGGTCTTCATTAAGACTTTATTGAAAGTGTGACAATTGAAGAGAGACTGAGACAGCAGAGTCCAGGGTTTATAAACAGCAGTTTTAGACAGCTGTCTGATGTATTTATCTTGGCCTTATGTCCTTATTTATGGCCATGACACACTGGAAAATACATAGCTGGAATAGCTGCTCTGGGGAGGATCATGCTGGAATCCTACACATGTGCAGACAGACAGGCAGACAGACGGACAGACAGACAGGCAGGCTGGCAGACACACACAGATGCAATAGTCCCTTTATAGATAGATCTATGGTTATTATGTTTAGTCTGCTCAGCAGGGACAAGCTTGATTAATGGCTAGGGTAATGTGTGGGCATGTGTGTGGTTTGTGGCAGAGAGACAGAGAGACAGAGACACCTTTTACCCCCACACACTAAGCTGCTTGTTGCTTATTACTCCTGATTAGAGGCAACGATAAAAGGGGAAAGACGGGGATGGAACAGTTTAGTTTCCTAAAGCTATAAGCTATAGGGGGCTTTGTTCATTCCCAACATTTTTTTTTGAAGAACAGATCTAAAGTTTTCTCCTATGGTTAACATGTTAAAATTGAATATTGTAGTGAAGTCTGTCATCATGCCAAGTTAATGTGGTAAATAGGGATCAAGTATCAGTTAGTCATGAAATATTAAGCTCTGCTGCTAGCAGTTGCACATACACCCTGACAGCAGGTGTACACAGTCCTGTTTTGGGCCACAAAAAGGCACTGCAAAAGACATTGTAGTTTCTTAACACCTATGGGTGGAGCTCCATACCTGCTCCAGAAGGGATATGTGTGTTGTTCTTTTATAGTTTGTCTGTCTCGATTGACGGATGCGTCATCTTTCTGTTTGTGTGTCTGTGTACCCTGATTTATTTCACAAAATTAAACAAACGCATCCTATTTCATTGACCTGCACCAACAGTTTCCACTGTTTATCCCCCGTCTGCCAACCGACTTACCAAGCAGAGGAAACCACAGCAGCAGCAGCAGCAGCAGCAGCGGCAGCAGCAACAAGCAACTCCCATCTCCAGTCTCCACGAAATTACTTTCCCATTCATTGTCTTCAGAACCACATTACACAACACCCACACCACCTTTTAATTAGTGAAGTAACACTTAGGGAGTGGACTTGACTGGGAAAGACTGGGGCGAGTAAACAACACAATCTAACAAGACAGAGTCTCTGTTAAGTCTACATTACTGGCTCACTAAAGCTATTTCTGGTGGTGGCATGAAGGTGGAGTACCATGTGTCTAACGTGGTGAAAGAAGTGGCCTGTTTAAGGAGAATAAACAAGATGTGGTTCAAACCTTGTTGGTTTAGAAGAGATTGGTTGTCCAAATGAAGCCAATTGACTATTTGCATCTAGTCTACATCATGTGTCATAGTTCCATGAAAGCTTTCTTTCCTGCAAAAAAAAACCTAGTCTGGTTTTAATGTGGGGAAGTGTTTCAACCTGAAAAGTGACAGTCAGACAGACAGGGGAAGTGAATGAGTGACATCATTCGGGGGACTACATGAAAGCGCAAGACATGATTGTTTTGCTGGCAATTGCTGACTCAGCTGTTAACCTTAGTCACATACCGTGAGAAAATCAAACTAACTAAACACACACAAACCTACCTCCTACTGTAAACCTAAAAAAGAAAGAGGGAGCACTACTGAGTACTAATTTTTATGATCATGAAAGATTGTAACCCCTAATCTGGTCATTGGGGAGCGTAAAGTCTTGTGTGGAGTTGGCTAATAAAAGGATGAAACTAGAAATTTGTCAGAGATTTCTTCTGTACTGCTGAAACTGATGTCCCCTAAAAATCTCTCGGTGTCTAATTAGGTCGTTTGAGGCAATGTTGCAAACCAACAAGCAGGTTTACAGTATGGCAATATTGTATTTATAGGATTTGTGCATCAATGCAATGCAACGTTTCTTGCTTAAATTCAGTTATTTAGTTATTTATTTCACCGGTTTTTCTCAAGTAGACTTCCAGAAAACGTGCAATATAGTATGTCAATATCACAATATTAATTTATGACCCTTTATTACTGCATGGTACTGGCTCAACTCAACTCTACTCGCCTTTTGTGATTTTGGCACCTGGCACCTGGTACTTTTCCCTTCAACTCGCTTGGAACAATGGAGGCAATACCAAAAGGTGACATGAAAACTGCAGACTAATGATTAGTCAGAGAGAGTCACTATCACTACATCATCTGAATTCTGATGAAGTGTTTCCCAAGCTCTCCTGTTTTTGTTTTTTTTGTTTTTTTTTTTCTTCAGCAGTCTTTTGTCTTGCTGCCTTCAGCCTCTTCTGGAACAAAATCTGTCTCCTTGATGTGACAAACAGCCACAATCTGGGAATCGAGAACAGCATCCCTTCGATATCCTCTATTGTTCCTGTGTGTGCGTGTGTCATATTGAAGATAACGTCTCCATAGCTTCATGCAGCGTCGCTACTGAATTGAAGGGGTACTATCTGAAGTGGAAAAAGAACTACCTGGTACCAAAAACAAGTAGAATCGAGTCGAGTTGTGCCGGACTTGATTCATATAGACCACCCTTAGGATGTAGATGTTGTCAAGTGTTATTCTTGATTTATAATTTCACACACCCATTTCTGTCTCTGTTTTACTGCAGTCTCTGGAGATGGATCACACAACTCTGCAGAGGATGAAGAAGATGATCAAAGCTATACACACATCTGGACTCTGTAAGTGTCAATATGTCACACACAGTATAGTCTCACTCACACATTGCATTACTAGTGTGAGTAAATGACCTCAGCTAAAAGTCTGACTGCCGGTTTTTTCAGAGCTTTCAACCATATCACACCCTAAGCTGTCATGGAGATGAGTCTGTGCTCAGCAGCTATTATAATTTCATCCATAGCACTTTGAGGACTTCTCATCAGTGTTGTCTTCGATTCAAGTCCATTCTTGACTTTGGAAATAGTAGTTTGGCAAGAACTCAAGGTCCATTATCTAGCTCTTTCCAGAGCTTTCATCAGCGGGTGGACTGTGTGATATGGTAGGAAGCACCTGAAAAAAAGTGTAATTTATGTTGGGATTTTTTTTCTCAAACTTAAGATTTTCAATCAAGGTCATAGGAAAGTGACAGGACCAGTAGGGAGATCTGCACAAATGTGTTTTACCACTTTCCAATCCATGTTGAAGGATGTCTTGTTCCAAAGTATGTTAGCTCAGCAGTGAGTTTTCAGATAAAGGTCAGCCTCTATTATGGCAGGATGAGCTATTCATTGCATTGGGGGCCTCCACATAATTCATCGTACAAGCCTGGTTCGGATGACATCATCAGGCTCGTGTGGGCAGTGGTGTTTATGAGTGAGGCCCCTTGTTATGGGACCAGAGTGCGTAGGATGTTGGGTGATTGTGTTTATATCCATACAGAGTGTATGCTTTTGTGGTGTATGTGTGTGTGTCTGTGTTAAGGTTAATGGTATGTGTGGTTTCGGCAAACAACAAGGTGCTCACTTCACAGTGGCCTAACAGCTGCACGGGGTCACCAAGTTAATGTTTTGTGAGTGTGTGTCATACAGGTCTATGTTACCATAAGTTGCCATTGCTCCCTCAGAATTGGATGTGATTCGACATACATAAGATGTGAGTGTTCACCTCAAAAATTCCGCGGGAGAAAGAGAAGAACTGAAGTTGTTTTTCTGAACTTGCTTACAAGCCTGTTTCCCATTTCAAGACTTCAACTCATAGTTTTTAGTAAAAATGAGTCAGCGAGGCAGCTGCTCAGAATTAGGCAACTAGATGCAGAGAAGTCGTCCATGATCATTCCCTATTCACTCTCCTATTCTATTTCTTCCTCTGTATCAAAGTCTAATCATGGGGGTTGGTTACAATAATGTGACAAAGAGAATTTCTCTCATTATGTTGAACCACCTAAACTTTCCTGATAGTAACTGTGGACTGACAGTCTGACTCATTAAGTCACACGCCCACATCTCCCCCATGTTGGTCTGATGGCCCCTTTTCTGTGTCACACATACAAAAAAACACATGCACACATGGTGAGATGTTCTCTTCTTTAGTTCTCTATTCCCATAAACCGCTAAGTACCATTTTTCTGCCAAGACGCTGAGGCCTGTGAGTCTGTGTGTGTTCTGGCAGAGGAGTGAAGAGTTGAGTTGCTCTGCTGGTATCTGGTACTAAAAGGTCAGCATGAAAATCATCCTCTGAGCTACTCTGTGACTCAGCTGTTTGTTGTTTGATAGATGCACGTATGTTGTTTGTTATAATACCTTTTTAACAACCATGCAGCCACAACCGCTCAGTTTTCCTGCTCCCCTCGATTCTGTCTTGTCCGTCCTGCAGTTTGTCTGCATTCTTTCCTTAATTTCCAAATTTTGCTCATTCATAAAAAATTTTCCATGTTTGCTTTACAGTCAGTTAGTACAGCTATGTCAGTCTGTCTCCCAGCTACTGTCAGTTTACCATTTTATATTTTATACATGGAAACTGGAGCAGAAGAGATGAACTTATGATACTCTTTCTGCTTATTTCTGCTTTTGTCTGTTTAGTCTGCTCTGGACACTTCTGCAGATGCCTGGTCCTGTCAGTCTACAGCCACCAACAAATGGTTTCATTTTTACACTAATGTGGGGGTTTGCAAAAGTTTCTATATGACTGTGATGAACAGACATTTGGTTGTAATTGTTCATCAGGTGCCCATCTTTGAAAATGATGACTTCCATGGCTCGGATTTTGACTTGTGTTTAGTTGATGTCCTCATCTAAACCTCACTTTCAAATAGCTCTAGGATAAAACCTTGTTTAGTGCAATGTAAACCAAAGTGGTGCCAGTCAGAGCTCAGATTCTTTTCCATCAGCCTTTTTCCACATAAATTCAACAGACTGAGAGCCCACTAAGGTCATGACCCTTGGAAAAGTGACCTATAACATTACACATTGACCTATAAGCCCGAGAAAAGCATGGATGGGTGGAAACCAGCACTAATTTGTCCCACATGCTTGTCTCGTTAAAATACTCTCACTGCAACAGAGCAAGTGAATCAGCCCTCTTCAGATTTTCTGCACATGTAACTTAAGTCTGAGTCATTTTACCAGTCTATGTCTTTACTCATTCTGTGTACATGTGTGATTCTTTTCAGCCCATGTGGACAACAAGGAGCTGTATATCGAGGTGCTGGAGAACCTGGGGAATAGTCACCTGACCCAGGACAACAACGAAGTCTCCACAGGTTTCCTCAACCTGGCTGTGTTCACCAGAGAGGTCACAGCCCTCTTCAAAAATCTGGTGAGGAAAGGGGAGAAGAGTGTGGAAGAAAAGGAGAACAGGAAGGGGAGGTTTCCTCAAATTAGCTGTCCTTTACTTGAAGGTTCAAACCACACACGCAAAACCTAGGTGGAAAATAAAAAGAGGAAAGAGAAGCTGGTCTCCTACATGTCTCGAAAACCCCTAAAGAATGGCAATAAATCAGATAAATTTGAATTTAAATTATGTGAAATGGCAGCAGGCAGCAGAACTCCAAATCTATTCTATTGGGTGTATGTTTGTGTTCATTGTGTGCGTGTGCATGCATGAATGCATGGAGGAAATAGGTTTTTTAAAGAGCTGCATGCTTGTGCATTTGGACTGCAAAATATGGCGCAGTCCGGAACCCTCCCACTGATAGTTTCTATGGAGATGATAATTCATCCCAGACCTCCATGTGTGAATAAACACACACACACACACACACACACACACACACCCCCACACCGTCTGACACACTCCCTCCCATGTGTCAATCAAGGCTTCACAGGGGAGACTGGACCTTACAGATGTGAAAAGGAAGTGGGTCCAAAAGCCCCAAAACAAAAGAGTGATTTAAAGTTGTACTGCTAAATCAACCTGACCGTGTCCCTTAATGCCACATTCTTGTCCCACTGTCTCATTGTGTGCTTTTAGGCATGCATGCATTGATCTGTGTCACTTGTACATGTGTTGATGAAGTTGGTATTCCCCTGTGTCAGAACTCCATGTATTTACCCATTAGCTACCCCAGCTTCTGGATGCCAACCAAAACAATTCCACCACTCTCCAGGCCTTTGTGTCAATATATCAAGGTCAGCTCATGCAAGCAGTCAGCTCATGGAAGTGGCTGGACATTATTTATGTGAAGAGAAGAGTGTAGCTTAATTGTAACCCACCAGGATCTATGGAAAGGCTGCAGTGACTATAAACAGACTTGAAAAGTGATCAACTGGACACATGTGGACAATAATGTATGTAACTATGCAGCATGCCAAGATAAAGATGTGATGCACTTTCTTGGGGGAACTGGTGGTAATGATGTCTTACTCTAAAGTGCAACCTACTGGGGTCAGGCTGGTTGTTGTGTGATTCATTCTCACCACATACATGATAGAGTTAATCTCAACTCCATACAAACCTCAAATTAATCTCAACTTCCACTTTAGTGTACACAAACACTTCATTAAAGTCATTGCATCATGCTCCAACTTGGATCCAAAAATCTTGGTACATATTATTGTCCAGTGTTTTCTTTTGATGACTCACTACTTCAAAGTGACTGAATCACCATGTTTTTAGGATTATCCACAACTCATTCCCAGAAATGAAAGTCCATAGGGAGATACGGTAAGAGTCTGTAGAACTGTGTGTGTATGTGACTGTTTGCTTATACTGCAGGAGATAAGGGCTGTCTGTAATGTTATATGGAATCATTTTTTCTTTTCTTACTCATTTCCTCTGCTTTTATGTGTTTCAGGTACAAAACCTCAATAACATCATGGCGTTTCCTTTGGAAAATGTACTGAAGTCAGAGCTCCGGGACAGCAGACTAGTGAGTCTAAATTTTGTTTTTCACAGATTTATTAAATACTGATTCAACCTCTGCTGGCTAAGCTGATATTCATATTGTGATGACTTGTTGTCATTTACTTGTTTAGACTGTTCCTGATTTAAGCTGAAAATCCTAAAATACTTATTTTTATAAAGTTGTCCAACTCCATGACATCATACAGTTCAGTTTTGAACTTGAACAGCTTGTAGTTTTCAATAGGGCTGGGTGATATTGGAAAAAAAATTATATAATAATATTTGGCAAAAAAATATGTTGATAAAGCGACAATATTTTGAAGTAGGATATATTTGCTCTAAGAATACATTTACACACAAGAAAAATTTAATAAACCTATGTAATGAATTAATAAACAGACATAATATGAATATAATGGTCAAGTAGAGATTTACTTAGATACAGTCCAATAATATCAGCAAATTGTGTCAACTTACTTTATTGTGGTCAGAGTGATGAGAAGAGGTAATACTAAAGGGATCCCAGAATTATGACAACATAACCGCATCTAGTCTTATATGATATTATATCAATACTTTTTAAAGCCCCACATTCAAATCAACACAATTCAGATGTAATAAGACACAAAATTGTATAGTCGGGCACTCATTAATTTGTAGGAGGCAACAAACAGGGTCATATGATGATATGATATGGTCAAGATGTGACATGTGATATGCAGCTCAGGAAGACAGATACCTGTGTTTGTAAATGTTGACTTCACTGTCTAAAATGACAGGATTTCCCCTTTAAGCAGATAATACTGTCTGTCTGTGTTGTAGACACAGCTGAGCCTTTTAAGATATTGGATAAGATGAGGCTGTTTCTGCAGATTAATGAGTAAGACTGAGCTACGCTCCAATACTGAACCGATCTGTCTTGGCCAGCATTTGACTTTTTGATTTGCCATGCCAACAGACTAGTGAGTAATAACAGGCTAATGCCTCTGTAAGCTCCTGTCACTGCCCTGTCTTTTAAACATCTGATTCAACAGCTGAACATTGCTTCACTGTAACTGTGAAGGAAGGCTAAGTGCTACTGAAATCCTGTTCAGCCAGATTTGCAGACTAGTTACCTTAATGTGAGTTGTCACGTCTCTGTCCATCAACTGTCTGGCCCTACCCACTCAGGTAATTACCAGTAAATCCACACTGTACAATGCTGCTTTACCTGACTATATGCATACTATTAACCTCTTGTGGGGGTATTTTATTGATCATGTAAACACTACTGTCTGGCTATAGGAACATATACAGCAACCTTCCTGAGGTGACATGAAAAATATCTACTCTTTTCTTCTTCTCTCTCATATTCAGGAGCTCAAGAAACAGATGGAGAAGAGCTGGAAGGAGTACGACATAAAAATGTAATTAACCATATTCGTACACTTTGTTTGTTACTTCACAATCAAATTGGTGCATAGTGTGTGATTAGTCCAGTTCTTCATGTTTAAACCTCATTGCTTTCACAAGAGACAGGAAACTGAAGCCTGAGATAGATGTTATTGTCTAAGGAGACTCACGTCACACATTTAAAATTCTTGCTCTTCCTTTTCTGGCTTTTTCTGGGTCATAGAAGTTGGTGTAACTTCAGCAGAGGTTAATGTGATAATAGTTCATTCCCTGTGGTCAATCTCCATTACATTGCTATGAAGTAAAACTGAGGCACTTGCACTTTGCAGACATCATTTGATCTCATTCTGATGGTGGTTTAAAGTGTTTTATAATGTTGTAAAGAGATTTCACCTCTCCCTTATTGTCTTTTGTCCAAACTCCCCTCCCCCCTCTCTCTCTCTTTATGAGGAAGGTGAATGAGTTAGTGGAAAAAGTCCCTCAGTTTGTGGCGGAAAAAAGCAGCTCACTTAAAATGCTTGATTAGTTAATCATTACAGAGAGAGAATTGATCAGACAGATGGTTAAAGAATTGTGACAGACTCTGGATAACATTTTTTATTGCTTTTTCTCTTTTCTTTCTTTCTCTCCCTCCGCCTGACAGAGGAAAGCTAGAGAAGGAGAGGAAGGAGAAGACCAGGCAGCTGGGGCTGATCAGGACGGAGGGATCTGACGGCGGGGAGGACATGGAGAGAGAGAGGAGGTCCTTTCAGCTGCAAATGTGTGAGGTGGGGGAATCGGTGCCAGCCAAAACACAAGACACAGACACCTTTCACATACCTGAGTAGGGCTTGATTTAGTTCACATGGGTGGTCTGCCTTGTGGATTCCATATTCCATCCATGGTGGACAGGATGTCCCGGGTCGATCCCTTTTGTGTCTCTCCAGTAATTCCTCAATGGAAATAAAATACACTTCAAAAAGTCAGTTTAATTGGCTGCCTCTTGCAGGAGTGCTGGGTCATATGCATTAGACGGCAGTTCAAAGGCAGATGAAACTGCTTCATGACCCCACACCTGAAAGGGTTGTGTAGTCTCAGTTGCTAGCACACATGTAGCTGGAGAAAACCCTGAGGAAAAAAAAAAGGTCTAACCCTGACTGAGACCAGCTGTTGAGACAAAAAGGAGGCAGGTAAAATGGAATTTCCACACGTTGCAAGTCTCTCCGCTCGTCTGTCTCTTGGTCTGTCTGCCTTTCTTTCCTCCTGCAAACATACAAAAACTCTTTAAAAGCACTGTAGTTTGCCATTAAAGTTTTTTTTCCTTTAAAACATGAATTTAGACCGAGGACAGGCCTGAAATTATTTGCAATAAAGCTTTCAATATGTGCCTGTGTTTTTTATACTATATGAATGGAGACTTTTCCGGTTTCTGTCTGCAAGGTTCACTGACTGACTGGAGTTTTGAAATAAGGCACATGACCTTTAAGATAATATGGAGCAGTGTCCTAGAAAGCGAGCAGCCACATACTAGAAAACATGCTCAGAACAGGATATAAAAGATGTGTCGCCCAGGATGAGCCTTAAATTATTGGAACTGAAAAATGGTAGCTTTACTTGATGCCTCATTTTCATATTCAGGCTTCATGTTTTTGTGGATCCATCTGGCCTTTCTATGGGACAGCTGCTGTTTCTGGAGTTTTTTGTTAACTTTCTGTGTTTATGCTTTCAGTATCTTTTGAAGATCCAGGAGCTGAAGGTGCGTCAGGGCCCTGATCTTCTCCAGAGCCTCATCAAGTATTTCCAGGCCCAGCTCAGGTCAGTCTCAGCCAACACCACCTTATTTTGTGTCATAGCCATTTTGTTCTAGGTGTGAAATAAGAATAAGAAAGTTTTTCCTGGCATAAAAAGCATCTGGATTTGATTTCTACCTCAGGGTTTAGAGAGGGAATTTTCATAATAGTTGAGGTTCTTTGGTTTTCACTTCCTTTTACAAGCTATTATTTCTGTTAACCATTTACTCGTTTTAATCTTACTGAAGGTTTTATGTGGGAACGGAGTTGCTTATACAGCCTCAGCATGTGATGTTTTGGTTGGTGCAAACTAGGATGTTTGGACTCAAGTTCCATCATGACTCAGCATTTGTTCTTTTTTCTGATCTCAGTTTCTTTCAGGATGGGCTGAAAGCTGCAGAGAATCTCTCTCCCTTTATCGAGAAGCTTGCTGCTTCTGTGCACACGGTAATCACAGAAACTGCTGCTGCTGGTTTCTCTGTCCTCCCGCATTATAACAGTCAGTGTTTATAGGGGTAAAAAAAAAGCATTTTGATGTTATCATACCCCCAATCCACCCACACACAGAGCTTTTCTCCATTTGTCATACATTGCTTAGTCACAACAACAGGTAAATCTGTGTCCAAGGAAGTCACTTACAGTAAAACTGTCGCTGTAAATCACACAGTGTTTTAGTACCTCCTATAGCACTATTTCACTCTTTCCCAACAGGCAAAACCTCAGCCTCCCTCTCCCCTGAAGCGTCCCCCCAGCTGAACCCACAGGCTGAGACTGTTATTGGAGTCTATTCCCAGAAATGCTTTCCCCTGTTAGATGAAAAAGAAAGCATCCGTCATTTTCATTCTTTCCCTGCTGCACACCTATTTCTCTGACCACTCTGACAGGTTTCCAGTCTGCACAAAATTTGACTTCTTCCCTTCTCTGGATAGAGCACTGGAAACAGACTGTTAACTGTGATACTAGGAACGTTAGAGGTTTTTCTGGTTCTTCATGGGCAGAACACAGACCCGCTCAGACATGCCAGCCGTCAGCCTCGAGAAGGAAATTCAGACAGAATCTCTGTTTGGTTCCCTGGAAAATTGCTCAAATATTTCAGTTAAATGAACAAGACTGTTCACTCTGCTTCTTAATATAAAAAACACAACCTCCTAGGACTACACACCCCAGTACTGAGCTCTGTTCTGCATTATTTAGGCCATTACACAAAGCTCTGATTTATTGTCATTCCACACCCAATTCTGGGAACAAATCAAAAAAACATTGCAGACATTGCATATGAGCTAATGAACACGAGAGAACACAAAAAAACATGTTGTTCTTTGAACTAATTAGATTGTTTTTTATTACTGCAATTGAATAAACTGACTTTTATGGTGTGTGTGTGTGTATGTGTGTATGTATCCGTGTGTGTGTGTGTGTGTGTGTGCTATAGGTGCGTCTGGACCAGGATGAGGAAGTAAAACAACTCACTCAATTGAGGGATTCTCTCAGATTACTTCTCCAAGTGGAGGGGAAAGAGGTATGCTTATTCCTATTATCATTATTATACTCATATATAACCAGAATCCTGCAGATCTTCAGCCAGTGTATAAACATTTGTGCTCTAAAAAGTCCAGCAGCAGATGGCTTTAATTGGTGGTTGATGGTATCAGATTACTTTGTGTTTTATATTGTTTTAAATGTCATGATCTGCAGAGCTGGCTTGGAACCTTTGAGCTAATGTCCTAAATCCCTGTTTGTGTCCCAGGAGTATATGAACAGGAAGAACTCTGGCAATGGGTACAGCATCCACCAACCACAGGGCAACAAAAAGTATGGGACAGAGAAATCTGGCTTTCTGCTCAAGAAGAGTGATGGGTGTGTAAAAGCATAACTTATTAAAATTTGCCATTTAACGTGTTCTAGCTATACAAAATCTATACAAAATTTTAGCTGTTCACATACAGAAAATTGTAATATTTTTAAAGCGAAAAACACTTCTCACTGTTGATTGCAAGCGCGGTCAGAGCTTGGTAAAAAAGTAAGCCAGCAAGGCACGGAGAGAGAAAGGGGAACTCAGACTTTGTCTACCCCAGCTGGTCTTCATTATTGTGAGATGAAGATTCAAGCAGGGGCCCCTCCTGTGGAACTTATTGGCAGACTGGCTAACGGAGCAGATCCAACTTTTGCGTCATGCACACACTCGCATACACATACACACACACACACACACAGTGCTAGATTACTGTGTGATAAGGAGAGGGGATGTGGTTCAGTAGGGCGAATGTGAGACAGGAGGAGAGTAAACTTTCCTCAGGCCACTGACACAAAATGGAAAAAGTTCCCTGACATTTTACTTGATTCAGTCAAGATAATGAAAGCAACACTGAAACACTGTGAACAGAAGTAAGCTGAGCCAGCATAGTGTATAGATCATTATTACTCAAACCAAGGGTGCATGTTGATAAACTGCATAGAAACCATCTGGTCAATATTATTATATTAATAGTGATGATGTGTATGAAATCTATTTGTGTTATTTTTTTCTCCAATTGTGCATTTTTTGTTGACTCTTCAGCATCCGGAAGGTGTGGCAGAAGAGAAAGTGCGGAGTCAAATTTGGCTGCCTGACCATTTCCCACAGCACGGTGAGGACACGTGGACAAACGACAACTGTTACCAAGCATCTGTCAATTGAATTATGTCCAATTTTTTCAACACATGCTGACATAGGTGTGTGTGTCTGTCTTCAGATTAATCGACCGCCTGCCAAATTGAACCTACTGACCTGTCAGGTGCGACCAGACCCAGAGGACAGGAGGATCTTTGACCTGGTCACTCGTACGTTCATTCCTAAGCTTTGACCTTTACACTTTTACCCTCGACATATCATCATTAAAGACTCTGAAGAATCATCTGCAGCACAGCTGTGTGGAAGTATGCCTGTTTGGTCCCCACATTCATAGAAACTGAGATCAAAACAGATTTTATTTGGGATAAACACCAGAGATTCCTTGTGATTAATCTACACTGTTGTGACGACAAGTTGAGTTTCATGTTTGTTTTATGCAAATTTTGTTTCCACTGTTGTGTTTCAACTTTGAAACCCTCTTCACTCCAACTACTGTTAGGTTTTTCAAGATCAGCCGACAGTATCTAATTACCGTTTCTTCTTCTCCTAGATAATCGGACCTACCATTTTCAGGCAGAAGATGAGCAGGAATGTCTGATGTAAGCATTGAAACTACTGTACGCTGCATGTTAGCTTTATTCACTTCCTTATCTCATGTATTTTTTCATTGTGTAAGCAAGTTGTGACATATCATGCAACTATTATTCAAGATTAGGTCTGTATTGGAAATAAGCCTGCATTTAGAACAATGGGAGGTGTACTAAAAGGGAGGAGTCCAGTAGAAAGATAAAGGTTGTGTAGTTAAGTGCTATAAAGAGTATACAGTCTGATCCTGTTTGCAGTGAAGAGCAAGCAAGGCTGACAATGGAGAAAAAGGGAGCGACACTAAAGGAAAGCTGTCCGCGAGGACCCCCCCAGCCCAGCTGGTGTTGGGTGGGACTTCTCTTACTAGCCACAGATAGCAAGCAAGGGAACTTTTTGTGTTGTGATGTGGTGTTGGATGGGGTTTCATGTGGGGCTTTCTGTCCCCTGCCCTTCCCTTGTGTGTGGGCCTCCAGGCAGATTCTTTGATGTGATGTGCTGTGTGAGTTTAGGGACAGAGGGGAATGGAAACGGTTTGAAAGGGAAAAGTACCAGAGCTTCAGAAATGAAAGACATGAGGTTCAGTATGAGTCTGGATGGTAGAGAACTCACGAAACTGAGAAAGTGAGAGTGATGACTTATCGTTAGACAACTGAGCAGAAAACACATGCAAAACACATGGTGGAATACTTTTGATCTTCAGAGGAAAGACTGAAATGATCAGTTCTTTAGTTTCCCTTGGTGTGACATTATGTGTAAACGCTGTGTTCTATATATATATATATGTGTGTGTGTGTGTGTGTGTGTGTGTCTGTACTTTAGTTGGGTGTCAGTGCTGCAGAACAGTAAGGAGGAGGCCCTGAACACAGCACTGGGAGGAGACCAGCTCCACCTCCAGGACAGCGGGCTCCAGGAACTTTCCCGAGCCATCATCGCTGAGCTTCGACACATGCCCGGCAACGAGGCCTGTGCTGACTGTGGGGCTCCAGGTCAGACAGTTATTGACGTTGATGATAATTGCAGAAGTAAATGTGGAAATTTATGTTCTGAGCATGAAATGATTCATGATTGTTTTTTTTGCTCTGTGTATCTCAGATCCAACTTGGCTGTCAACCAATCTTGGTATTCTGACCTGTATCGAGTGCTCTGGGATCCACAGAGAGCTGGGTGTCCACTACTCCAGGATCCAGTCTCTCACTCTGGACCTACTGAGCACATCAGAGCTCCTGGTACTAAATGCACACATGGAAACACACAGTACACGCAAAAACAGAAACAATCCTGGTGGATTTTCTGTTGTCAGGATTTCCTAATTGCAGACATTATGTAACCGCCTGCCTCTCATTCAAATGCCTCTGTGTCACATCTTTGTGGCTGCATTGTGTTTTACTGCAGTTGGCTGTCAGTATTGGCAACACCAGATTCAATGACATCATGGAGGCTGGCCTTCCAAATGATGCTGTCAAACCACTGCCACAAAGTGACATGTGAGTCCCTGATTTCATTTTAATCAAAAATCTGATTGTTAAAGAGACATTTTTTTAATTTGTTGTATTTTGTTTTTCATTAAATGGTGCATCCTTTACAACCAGGAATGCCAGAAAGGAGTACATTGTGGCAAAATACGCTGAGCGGCGGTACGTCCTACGTAGAGAAGAAGCAGATCCCGGACGGCTGTATGACGCCGTGAGGAGTCGGGACCTCACTTCTCTTCTGCAGCTCTACGCTGAGGGAGCAGACCTGGTCAATCCACTCACACTGCCCGATGGACAGGTGAAGATAATTTACAGCCATGAGTGGATTTTCACACTGGCATTTCTTCCTGAAATCTATCCTGTGAGGGTGGCAAAGAACATTATAAACACATTTAATCTTATGACAAATTGAGACTCTGAGCATTCCCACAGATGTCATGCATTTAGGGAGAATGACAGCAACATCCTGACAAGGCCGCCCACCCTGCTTGCTTAAAGTTGCACACACATTTGTGAGATGCTTCAAAAAGTTACTTACTTGTCCCTGTCACTTTGGAGTTATGACTGAACTGGATAAAAATAGAATCACCCAACCCTCTAGTGTTGAAAAAAAAAGTCACGACATACAGTGTGTAGGAGGTGTGTGGATAGTTACAGTATGTGAAGCATGTGTTAATTGTCCTCTTGTGTGCATGGATCATGTGGGTGGGTAGTCGGAGACCCTCCCATCTCTTTTGGCCTCTAATCCAATCTTTCCCTCCCTTTTTGTCTCCTCATCCTCTCATCTTGTTTTCCCTGCCTCTGCTGTCTCTCTCCAACGCCTGCTTTTCTGGTCTTTAATCACATATACCCTACTGTCATCTACTTCCTGCTCAGCAGAGAGAGAGAGAGAGAGAGAGAGAGAGAGAGAGAGAGAGAGAGAGACAGAGACAGACAGACAGAGAGAGAGAGAGAGAGAGAGAGAGAGAGAGTTTGTTTGTGTTGGTTGGCCCTCGTTTATTGTTTCAGCTTTTAGGTCAGAGCTCACGTCTGTTAACAAGTGAGACAAACTCCATGATTTACACACGCACCTCTCCGTCTTCCTTATCCCCCTCCTTCTGCACTTCTCATAAACAAATAATCCTTAAAGCTGAAGGAATATTTTCTCTTTTTAACACACAGACACAAATGACTTGTTACAGTCTCTGACATTAGCTTTACTGGTGTTCTTCTATAAGAATTAGGGATGTCATGCGAACCGATATTTCATACCAAATTGATTTTGAAAATTCTGAACTCTGCTGTGGTATTGAATTTGGTATTGGACTTTAATTGGTATTGGTACCGACTACCAAAATTCTGGTATCTTGACACTCCTATTCTTCTATCATGTCTCTAGACCGGATTGTCAGATGCAAAATGCAGCAACTTGATGCCACTGACTGACAGCAAACTTGGCAAAAAGTTCTGTGCAGCTGTAAAATCTTTTGAGGGTCAACAATATGGCCTAATTTGTACTAATTTCTTTCCTTATAAGGGGATCAGAGAGACAGCTCTTCATCTTGCTGTGCGTCTGGAGGAAAGAAGCTCTCTGGCGCTGGTCGATTTCCTCTGCCAGAACAGGTCAGACACTGAAAAATAGTAAATAGTGAAGTATGATTTGTATCTCCGTAGTATGAAGAGGATTAAGCTGTTGGTCAGTTTTGTTAGACTTGCGATGAAAGATGGTAATGTTTAACACCATCTGTCTGTGCTCTATGATCACTCTACAGCAACTGTCTGGAGAAAAGAACGGCAGAGGGAAACACAGCTCTTCATTACAGTGTCCTGCATTACAAGCCTGAGTCTCTCAAGTTACTGCTAAAAGCAAAGGCAGCACTACACACAGGTACATTTTGCTGTATTTATTTTTCTTTCCACTCGTGCAATCAGTGAATCCTTAAACCATTTTTTTTTATGTCTCCTACAGTGAACTCAGCAGGAGAGACTGCCCTCGATATCGCCAGGAGGCTGCAGCACACAAAATGTGTCGATCTGGTAAGACCTCACTCCTCTCTCTTTTAATCTGACTTAAACACACAGTATGTAACTTGCCACAAAGGGTCTCTCAATCTAAACAATAACAAAAGATGCCATTTGGTAATGCGTGAAGTAGCGTGGAATCCTTGGAGTTGTTATTGCTGTCTTTGGAGTCAGTGTCTCCCAGTTAGGATTTTTTCATTGTCAGTCGATCCGCAGAGGGTGTCCTCCTCGCCATAACAGAGAGACCGGGTAAAGAAAACCGGTGAACACACTGAATAAAGCAGTTTCAAATTAAAAATCATCCCGGAGGGGCTGTGAGCCGAGCTGCCACTAATGTTTGCTCAGCTTGTTTCTCTGATAACTTGTGATCCAGACATCTGATAACTAAAATCCTTTATCTGGTTAAAACATATAGTTAAAAATGTCCAAGATCTAAAATGTGTATCATAAAAATGTGACTTAAAACTGGATAAAAAGTAAATTTTGACCACTTCTGGCAGACAGTGACAATGCTGACACATATAGGGTCCATATAGTCCAGTGGTTTTTAGACATTTTAATGCAGAAAAGTTATATATTATACCTTTATGGTTTTAATTCATATTTTCAAAGAACACACACAGTGAGGAGGTTAGGTTCAACTGAGGAATCAAGTTGCAACATTAAAATACCTAATAGAAAGCCAACCTCAGAAACAAAACGAGACAACTTCCACAGCTGGAAATACTACCTTAAAATAACTCCCTGTGCAGCAAAGCTCAGCTAAGGACTCAGTCCCAGGACAAAGAATCTTATCCTCATCAGGTCCCACTGCGTATCATTTATAAACTGGTTTTATTTTCTTACCGGACATCTGCCCTGCTGAATCAGACCTGCCTTGTGTAATATCCTGTTTGATTGTGCACAGCCTTGTTTTGAAGGCTTTCTGTTTAAAAATCAAAAAAAGGTTACATAGGAAAAGTGCCTGAAAATGCTCTCCTTTTACTCATTGGCTGTATTAATATCTAGTTGTGTTGAGGTGATCTCTTTTTTGATCGGGAATCTGCATTTAGATCAATTATTTCATTTAACCCTCTTAGGTCTTTCCTTATTGTCTTTTATTTTCACTATCTGAAACATCTGCTGAATGCACTGATATACACAGACTCAAGAGGGATTTCCATAAAACTGCACAGGGGTGTGTGACAGCATGTGTTGACATCGTTTATACTCCTGTCTTCTGCCCTTTCCGTCCTTTTTTACCTGTTATTTTCAGTTTTCATAGATTTTTTTATATTAATCTCGAAACCTCTTACTGCCGGTACAGAAACTTAAAGTCCAGAAAATGATGTACTTACCCATGCCTCAAAACTAAAAAATTGCAACCCAACGGCCAAGAGGCAGAAACTAAACCAGAAAAGAAGTTGAAATATGGTTGGGTTGATAGAGGAAAGTACACAGTTACCACATCTTAGCTGTACCCAACTTTTATGTGTCTTTTACTGGAGAAGTGCATGAGTATTCTGAGCGTTTGTGTTTCTGTGTGTGTGTTTTAGTTGGAGCTGGCCCAGAGTGGGAAGTTTAACTCTCAGATCCATGTGGAGTTCATGTGGGAGACTCAGTCTCAGGAGTTCTATGACAGTGAGGATGACCTGGATGAGAGGGTAAACAGCACACACCCCCACCTGGGCAAACTCATTACTGACTTTGTCCTTCTGCCAAAAAAGCCTTGACAAAGTTTGGAGAAGAACATTATTGGGGTTTTCCACTGCGCTGTCCTCAATGAATGTAGAAAAGATGACTGAAAAGAAATTAATCAAAAAGAGTTGAGAAGAAACGATAGTAATTAACCTTGTGCTCCTTTCAACTTTCTTCCAGGTGAGCCCATTGCCCAAAAACCGCTCTCCATTGCCCTCCAATGGAGGTGGTGGATCGTCCTTTGCCCGCTGGAGTGTGGCTAATGCTTGTATAGGCAGCAGGCCCTGTCAGACTTATGAAAATCTGGACTTCCTGTACAGAAATCCTCCTGCCAACAGTGCCCCCTCTGGAGCATTAGGACCACCACCACTGCCAGCTAAATCCATCCAAAGAGGTGAGCTACTGTATAAGGTTTGTCTGCATTTTAGAAAATGCCCTAAATACTCATTTCAACTCTGAAAACGTCATATTTACCAAGAATGACGACAAGGAAATAACTTAGTACTAAGAAATCAGGTATTGACGATGCAAATGTTAAAGTTAATATTAATAGTTATGGAATACACTAAATTGAGGGAAAACAGGGATTGATTAATTATCCTTCAACTCAGTCACACTACCCATCTCACATGTTAAACAGCTGTGTTCATCTCTGTGGAGCACTGCCACCAAGGAATATATTATACTGAATGCCAGATCAAGTCATATTTTCCACATTAAACCCCACAGTCTCTGTTCTGTGCAGTTTACTGACTCTGCTGTTGCCTATAATAAAATTGCACAATTCAAGTTAAAAAAAACATTATACGTAAGATTTTGCCAGTTGATATGTTGTTTTACTGAGTGGATTCATAAAGTTGCTTTCAGTTCAATTTTGTTAAGTTCACTGCTGCCAAACTGAATAAATAAGGGTTTGTTTAAGCCTTCGAATGATTGCGTCAATTGAAATTTTCCATAATCATTTTCCATAATAATCCTAAAGATAACTTGTTTCTTCAGCCATTGCTTAGAACCACTTCGGATAACAGATTTAAAGCTTAATTTTAGATCTTGGCAGCATACCACACTTGTTTTTGAATGAATGTATAACTTAATTATCGTTGGTTTCATAAACAGATTAAATGGACAGTGTTCCTCTTGTTCTACTTTTTGACTTCATTTTCTTCCCCTCCACAGGTCGCTCAGACCCCCAGATTTCGGTCACAACACAGGAAGGAAACCCCATTCCAAGACGTTGCTCTAACCCACCCTCCCACTCCTCAAGTCCCCAGACACAGGCGAGACACAGCCCTCCCTCACCCAACACAGAGAACCTAGGCCAAGGTGGGAGACCCCCTAGGTCTCCCCTCGGACATGGAGGTCTGCTCAGGGGACAGAGGCAGACCTGCGAGAACCAAGCTGGTGCTAGTTCTGGGTCTCAAAGCAGTGTCACGTCAACATCCTCTCAGAATCACATAGGACCTGTCAGGTAAGACAGCACTGCTACAACCGGTTTACACATTTGTCTTGACACATTTTTTTTAAACATGATAGTGTTGGGTTTAAATAGGGCCACTGAGAGGATGCAATTCAAGATAAGGCTAAATGTCTAAAAATAATACTTGAAATAAAACTATCTTGTATCTGTAGGACAAGCTTTAATACTATGCAGATGAAAATGATTATCCAACTCTGCTCAGTTTTGATCTATCCGTTTATTTAAATAACTCCACATGATAACTTCTTTGATCAGTGTAATTTCATTATACTTCTGCGTCATTTTCCAGTTCAGAGAAGACCACATCGTATCGTCGGACCAGCAGTGGCGGAGGTAACCAGGGGAAATGTAGTGTGTTGTCTCAGAGCTGTGTGGGCAGCCAGGAGGAGCTGTACTGCAGTTTATTGGGGAATAGTTCGGCCCTCACCCCTGCTCCTGCTCCTGCTCCAGCCCCGTCATCATCACCTACCGTGACCTGTGCCCCTCGACCCCGCAGGAACGCTATGGTACGGCCACATAGAATCCTCTTTGTATTACATTCAGCCAGTTTAAGTCCTCCATGTCAGAGTCTTCCATTTCAGAGGACTTTTTCTTTTCTCTGGAGAATCAGAAAAGGCCTGTGAGATTTCACAGTCAATATAAATTTGCTGGGGGCACACTGAGAAATATATTACATGTCTCCTCCAGGTTTCTGGCAGCAGGCCACATCAGAAGCGTGTCAAGGCTTTGGTGGACTGCCGAGCAGTCAGTTCAGAGCAGCTTGCTTTTTTCAAGGATGAGATCATAGTGGTCACAGCCACTAATGACATCCACTGGTGGGTAAGTGCAACTACAACTTAATTTCATTTCTGTCCCCTGTCACTTGCCATCTGAGTTGCAATTTGAAGGGTTCCAAATGAACCTGTAAAGTGAGATATATATATATAAAATGTGTTCACTTCATAAATATGTTATTCCTTATCCTAACAGGTTGGTCACATAGAGGGGGAACCATCCAGGAGTGGGACCTTTCCCGTCAACTATGTACACAAACTGACAGACTGAAGGACGTGGAAATATGAAAGTACTGTATAGTAACATACTAGAGGAACTGAACCAGCATCGGATGCTTACTGGAACTTTATCATCACACAGTGGATTTTATCTACAGGAGAGGACAGTGTTATTCTCCTGGATCCAACTCAAACTCGAGCTTTTGAGCAAACTGAGAATAACTCCTCATGAGGATGAGAGAAGCCATGGGATACCTGAGGATATAAATGACACTGTTTTAGGGATTGTACCTGTTAACATTTAATCATCCTGGGAACTAACAAGGGAAGGTTCATAAAGCCTTTTATTCCAAAGACAGTGTTTTATCCCGTTGGCCTATCCTTGGTTTTCTAACTGCTACATGTTTCTATAGAACCACAATTATTAAGTACACATTCATTTGTGGTTTGGGAAACGGCTCTAATGTCCATATAACCATTAATTACACAGTATATTGCAAATGTGGTGTCTAGATCAGTACCTAGAGGCAAAACTTACCTGCAGGGGAAAACCCTATAAGGCACTTTAAACTCACTGAGAGGAGTTGGCAGAGCTGTAAGCGTGTACCTAGCCAGCTGCTGTATACGGATATAGCTGCTTTTTGTTCTGAACGGAAACCGTTCAGTCTTTTAAATCACAGTACACTGAGAGATGGGATGTGAGCTTCAAACCTGCCCAGTGTCTGTTGCAACCTGCCCTGGGAATCTGAAAATGGCTTTGTGCCTGCCAGCCTGTCTCCAATAAAACGCCAGGCGTCTGGGCAGCCAGAGTAGAGATCTGAAACTTTAGCTCAGCCATCTTGACTCTGGGCAAGGCTTACCGCCTGCACAAAGAAAGAGGAGGATCCAGTTTCTTCTGGCTCCAGGCATCTGTCTCTGGAGAACCTGGTATAACAACGGTGTGTTAGGGAAAAAAAAAAGACTCTCTGTTCTACCAGGAAATGGCACTTAAAGAGGGCTTGTTAGTAGCACCACCCCACTGCAGTCATTTGTTCACTGAACTCACAGTTAGTTACTGTAGGCACGTGTGTATCACATCAGATATACACAAGCTCACTTGCACTTAGTGTACACACAGATTATCTTCCAGGAGTGAGGAACCTTTAGGTAAGAGAGTTGGGAGTGGGAGAGGTGCAACTGCTCCACTTTTTAAAACCCAGTAACAAATACCCAAGTGTAACACATTTCACAGCTATTCCACACAATTTGTTGTACATACTTGTCTAAAAATGTCCTCTAATGTGTACAGTGTATATCATGTTTTTTAATCTGTTATGCATTATAAACAATTGTATCATTACAGATAGTGTTACTTCATGTTGCTAACTTGATGCCATGTGTCCTCTGTTCTGTTTAATCAGTTAACTAAATGACTGTCAGAGCAAGAGAAGGGAATGGACACAGTTGCATAATCGGTGTTAAGAAAGGATCCAGTCTCGCCAAACTGAAAACAAACACTGACAGGGAGAAGTAAAGGCAGTCAGGCAGCAGGCGTTCACTTCCTTTGAATCATTCCTGAGTTTAAACCAACTGGTGAGGAGTCTCTTTGCCCGTCACTGTTTCTGCTGATATTGTCTTGTCACAGTGTTGACCATTAAGCAAATGGAATCACAAGACAGTCGTCTGATGTGTGAGGCAGTGGATGACTGCATTAGACTACAACTGTAAGTAGGAACTCAGTCAAATGTAAACAGTACCGTAGCTCATTTTAGTGAGTATATTTTAACATACACATTAAACATGTCTGATAAAGTGTCATAGAGTCTTCTATAGTGTAAACTAGGTGATATCGTTACTTCTGTTGTGAGTTGAATGGAGTAATGTAGTGTCTAAGCCAGAGAGCTAATGCAGACCAAAGGTACTGAGTCCTTTATACAACCACACCAGTCTTAAATTATTTAGCCAGTGTCAGCACATATAAAACCTATTTCCTAGTAATGTGTTATGTAACACCTAATGTGACAGGGGTTTACTGGCTATTACTTCCTTCTGCACACTTGTATAGCACAGTATGTTGAAAAACAAATGGCTGAATATTGTCACTTCTGGATGACAAATTTAGCTGCATTGTATGATAATTGATGATGATGAGTTTGCCTAGTGTTTAATACCTGGAGTTCAATAATTCAAAATCCATAGACTCAAACTAATTCACAAGCTTTAATTAAATTAAAAGAGACTTTCCAAGTCATAGCATCTATACCATCTGTATATATTGGTTCAATTCTAAAAGTATGTGAGTTTGAACGGGGGATTGCTAAAAAGAGCATTGCTGTCTTGCTGGCTTGCTGGCTAAATGGCCTTTCTGGAATTGAACTTATTTGACAGTTGCATTTTCACTTCTCCCTGTCATTTCTGACATCATTTATTTTAAACTCCTACCCTTTATGCCTCCCTAAAGCTAAATCTCTCCGTCCGTCTCTCTTGGCAGTCTTCCCTGCACCTCTCCATCCTTCCAGCCTCATTTCGCCTCCATCCGGATGTTACTTAGCCCTGACCCTCCGTCCCGAAGCCAGGATGATGAAATTCCAACCTGTCACTTACATAACCGGCCACCTCTAACAGCCAAGATAATGATGCTGCATGCCACGGCCTATTCTCCTTTGCCAACTGAGTAGCCCATACATACAAACACTTCCTCCCATTAGGCCCATCTGCCTGTACTAATGCATACAGCGTATACAAGAAGCACTTTGTGAAATGTTATTTTTAAAACATACTGTATAGTTAATGTATTCATTCACTAATGCTGTCATCCATTTTATGTGTATTCATACACATACACACACAGACCGACACTGTGCACAAAAATAATAATGCAATGAGCACACTGTGGAATATAATAGTAAACCATGAAATGCAGAGTAAAGCCTGCACTAATCTCTAGATTTATATCATTCCTGGGTGGAAGAGAAGTGTGGTTTTGGTGCGTTATTACCATTTTTTTTGTGCAAGTATGTCAACTTTGTTTGCATCAGGGTCTTTAATCTCTAAAAATAAAATATTATAGAGGATGTTCTAACTTTCTAATACCCCAGATACTGAGATCCGCCTATCTAAAACCCATCTACATGGGTAATGCCTTTCATTAAGTGAGCAACAGCAAAAGCATCAGCTTAATGTAACTTCACAAATCCTGGCTTGCAATAATGAGGACTTGGAAATGGGATATATTTCCAGTAATTCTGCCCTTTCCATCTGAACACAGGGTTATCTAACCTCCATTTGACTAAATAATCAGCTGAGAAAGGGCTCTAATGGACAAGCAAATGACTAAATGACACTGTATGACTGGATGGAAAATAATGCACGCCAAATGTATAAGCCCAGTGTGGCTGAGCAGTTTACTGATTGGGCACTATGCAGCTGTTGGCTGCTGCAAGGTGACCCTAATAGATCCTAGACCTCCACCATAACTGCAAAGGATGTAATATCTAGAGATCCCACCTGAGAAATGAATACTTAATGCAAGCAGTTTCCAACAGAATAGCAAAACAGAGCCTGCAGCCTATTTAGGATTTTCTCTCCAGCTTGAGATGAGGAAAAACAATAATCAGTTCTCTGCAACATTTTAGTCATTTAGTCCATTTATTCTAATAATAGCTTATCTTACAAAACCTGATGATGCTTAAAATGAAATCTATTTTTTTAGATAATTACTAGTCTTAAACATTGTAGCTCTGTGCTCAAGTAAATGATAATGTCAAGAAAATGAACTAAGTCGTAGCAAATTTAAGCATAAAACATAGCAGAACATACATTCTTTCACTGCAGAAAGCAAAAACCTTTTTTCAGAAACAGTGCTAGCACATCAGAAAGGTTTGGGGACAAATAACTTTCTATCCAGCTGATTTTCAATTAGTCTCATTGGTCTCATACCCATTAATCTGTCAAAAAATGATTTGGCATTAAGGCTATGTAATTATGCAAATGGATGTTTCATTTCAGATTTAGAATTGAAAGCAATTTGACTCCAAACCTGCTGTTACTGTTAAGCATATAACATTTTCTGAGTAAAATTCGACTTAACATTTATACTAAAGTAGAATATACAGCTCTCAAATCAACAAAAATATCATTGTACTGTGAATAAAAGGTAAGAAACACCTGATTTAAGGAAAACAAAAAGTTCTGTGCTTTGTTCACCAGAACAGAAATGCATTCTGTACCACACGTCACATAAACTAACACAACATATTAAAACATTCACAAGGATAAATAAACATCAGAAAGTGGTTTTGGACCTGCGGTTGACCAGCATTCGTGTCAGTAAAGAGATGTGGGAGCTGTAGTTGTAATGAGTTCCCAGCGCACCAGTCGTCTGAATAATTATGATTCCGTAGACAGGAAGTGAATTTGTTGCTAACCACAGGTTCAAACAGTTGTGATTATACTGAATATTTAGTCTTCAGGAAAAAACAGAAACACTTGTGTAACAACTAACATTACATTCATTCTGCAAGTGGGCCCACAGATCTTTGGGAAACGTAGTCTTCTTTTTCATTCATAGAAAAACAAAAAGTGCAATCCCACAACAGTGTTTGACTTTGATTTTTTTTTTCTTCTTCTTCTTCTTCTGTCCGGATAACAATGTTTCTGGATGACGGCTGTGATGGTCATGAGTTCACCTGTTTTGCCATCACCCTCATCATTGGTATTATCACCATCAGAATTGTAACTGCCAATGCACAAACACTGCATAAGGCATATTAAAAAGCAATATATAGGCCAGCTGTATATTCAGTTATAACTCTAGCTGTTTACATAGGATCATAAATACATATTTAAGGCCTACTAGACCCCTTTATTTATTCTGCACAAGCATTCTGCTAACAAAGACCTTAGCTGAATATTGTTTGGTATAGATGTGCACAAAGACAAAAAGCAGTAGTTCCCTTGGCTATGTGGAATGCTTCTATAGTGAGTCAACATTCAGTGATAAAGTCATCATGGCTGTCAGAAATCTGAAAGCTGAGAACATCAACAGTAACATTGAATTTCTAACATTATCGTTGCTTAAAGGGGTACTCCAACGATTTAGTACTGAACCTCAATAAAAGTGGGGAACAGATTAAATGGTTAAAAAGAATGGTCTGAATCGAAGCAACAGATTTTTTTTTACTACCTGTATGGGGTCAAGCTCCAGATATCCGTCCTAAATAGCTACTTCTATTAAACCACACATGCTCAGTTGTAATGTAGGGGTTCTGTTTAAAATGATGCGCCTTGAGCTCAAGCTGATACAACAGCACTGTGAGATCATCTGTATTATTATTATTATTATTATTATTATTATTATTATTATTATTATTGTTATTATTATCATTATTATTATTATTATTATTTGCACTGAGCTTTGTGTGTAAAACCGGTGGAGTGCCCGTTTAACTGTGATCCCAATAAGCTGAGACAAAACAATCATTTAAGCCCTTATAATCAAAATTAGAAAATAACCAAAGCTAACCTGTGGCCTCGCCCTAACTAATTTGGATCAACCAACTGTACATCACCAAACCTGTGCATTTTAATCTTCACATCTAATTTCACATGCATGTTTTTCTTCTCACTTTGCCTGCATGGTCCCTTTACAGAAACAAAGAGACATCTCTAATGCATCCCAAATGATGCCGTAACATGTCCGGATCATGCCTATCTTTGCAACTAGGGAGCAATTAAAATTGCAATATCTAAGTGCACAGTATGACTTAATGGAAACCTACAGTGAGCAGTTATACAGACAAAGCACATGCCTCTCTTGTAAACAGTCTTGCTCCTTTGTTCTTCAGTGAGGTCATTTATGATAGGAGAGCAAGCGAAGCACCATCAGGGATTCTGCATTTGCAGAAATCCCTTTTCATTCTCTTGGAAAGTGGCACACACAGATGGATACTAACTTGCACTCACATCGCTATACATGCTTGAGATTGAATGCCTGTCTCTCTACCATAACCTTTGAATGCCAAAAATAGATATCTCTGTTGTATTGGCTGTACCTTCTACACACACACACACACACACACACACATATATATAGCTGAAGCAAGGGATTGGTGGAATAGATGAATACAAGAGATACTTCGTCATTGCCTAATCCAAAGAGAAAAGAAAAGAAGAATATAGGCCAGAAAAATTAGAGTAATCTATATGTAGAAATTAGGTCATCCACTGCATATGGGACAAAGATACTTTTGTGCACGAACATAGTTATCAACTGATCTATCAAATTAACCAAGCAATCTGTTTTAGCTTTGACATACAAACCCTGAATGAAAACTTCCACGTCTCTAAAAAAGCTGATTAGAATGACGATACCAGTGATACTTGTGCATGCATGGCTTAATTTTAAGTGCAACCCTAAATCTTCAAATAAATGAGCAGGTTCAACAAGCTTGTATCAGTAATATGTTTGACTACACCGCCAGTTCTAATTTATTTTTAAATAAATGCAGCAGTTCCTAAATCCTTCAGAGGACCTCTACAGCTGTCTAGTAGTGTTGTAGTTACAGTGCTCTGCTGGATACATTCTGTAGGTTTGTCGAAGCAGATTTAGGACCGAGAAATGAGTGGTTGCTAGGTGACTGGATGAAAAGAGGCCACAGGTGGAATTGTCCCAGTGTGAACTCCTCTCCTGCTCTCTTTGCTTGTTAAATGCTGCAAAAAAAAACAGGGGCTGTGGTAGTGGACGAGTTGTCATGGAAGAAGCCAAGGCACGTTTTCTGTTAATGTCTCAGCTAAATCTAAATTATACATTAATTTGTGCATCTTCTCTGTTTCAGACTTCTCCTCTTTTCCATCCCCTGCCTCTTTACCGCATCCTTGGTTTTATGTAACAGTGCAGCAATCCCTGTCACAGCTTCACCTCTCATCCTCATTCACTGCCCTTCTCTTCTCTTCTAATGGGCAGGAGAGGCAGATGTTTCAACGCTGTCCTCTTTGTCCTCATCTCTTTTGTCTTACCTTCTTTCTCCCTGTTTTTCTCCATTGGAAAGTTTCACATTACACAATCCCTATTGGCTTTTTCTCTATTGCTGCATTAGCCAAGAGATACAGTAAAGTATAGCAAATCTCCTGTTACCTCACAGTCTGAACCTCTACTCCCACATCACCTATTACTCATCCATTTAGCATCCAAGGATTCTATATCAATAAACTATCTCTGTCCAACACCACGGCAAACTGCAAGCAGCAAAGTATCAGTGAAAACAATAAAAACATAATGACATCCTGTACACATTGCACTGGTCCTGGCTTGACTGGTTTTCTAGCCAGAGGATTTCCTCAGAAACACACTCAACAGGAAACTCCTTACTAGCATTTGTGATTATTGTAGGCACTCTAAAGACCTGGAGGACCAGCCTCAGGATACAATAGCAGAAAGGTTGAAACTGGAGAGCAGCTGTGTCAATGAGTGATAGCTAAAGAATCCTCCTGTTTATGTAAAGCACATTTCTAAAGCAAAGCTGGAAATGCAAGCCTCATTGTTCCTATTTGAGCTTCACAGGCCAGGGGAGGCACGTGCGGAGTCCTAGCATGGAGGAGAAGACGATGGTGGGTCGGTGTTTCTTGAACCTCAGGCCCTTCTTCAGGCGTTGGCTGTTCTCAGCCACGTACAGCTCCCCCTGCTGGGCTGCGTTAGATATCCTGGAAACCAGCTCCCCGTGAACCACCACCTCCTGTTCTGAGCGCACAAACACCTCCCTGAGTTCCTCCAGCCGCCGCTCCATCTCTCTGATGACCCGCTGTCGTTCTTCCACCTCCAGGAGGCGCCGTCGAGCTGCCTCAAACTCCATGCTGGAGCTGGGGGTGACGAGCTTGGAGGAGGGGGCCGTGGCTGAGGTGGATGGAGGCTCAGAACCAGTTAGCAGAGCCCCTGTCACCCTGCGGAAGTCTCCCATGGAAATGGAGCGCCTGGTGGCAGGTGATGCCAGAGCCAGGAGAGTAGAGGCAGATGTAGAAGGTGGCATGGTC